GCATTATTTTGAACAATTCGTATGTAAACGAAAGATAAATTTTTAAAAATAAAATCATGTTTTTTGTTTTGTTTTTTTTAATGTATCATTCGATAAAACCTCCGATATTATTTGTTTGTTTAGAAATGAATTTAGAAAAGAATGAGTCCACTAATGTCGATATTTTAATTTAAATATTGCTAAAAAAAAGAAGCACCATTTTTTACTTGCTATAGCTCTTCTTATTACATTTTAATAAACGTCTCTACACATGATTTCTCTAAGCAATATTTAAATTAAAATATATATCTCGTAAATTAATCACTTTTCGATATAAATGGGTCAATGCTTTTTTCTCTTTTTTTTTCTTTTTTTTTTTTTATACAGATTTACGAGCTGTAGAACGAGTAACGTAATAAGTACGTAATTGAATTTTTCGAAATAGCGATTACCGCGAAATTTTTGTTTATTAACAAAATCTATTATGAAAAACAAATGAGAACCATTTAAATATTGCAACATTTTTTGTAAGTATGTTCTACTTATTTCGTATAAACCATTAATAACGAAGATATTAAGGTGTTCCAATTGAAATACATCACCCTATATATATATATATTATATATTATATATATATATAAATGTATTGGAGAAGAGATTGACCCGGATCTAAACTAGAAACAAGATGTATCTATAGTTCGGATTAACTTGTTGAACAATGAAAGGAGATGCTTCGAAGGGACCATGTCAAATATATATATATATATATAAATCAGTGTGAGTGGACGCGTGTATATGTATAAGTGTGTATGTGTGTGTACGTATATAACAAACATCCAACATATCTATGTATGTATGAAAATGATCGTTTAACACGTTAAATCGTGATTTTTCATTTAATATCTTTGCTCTTAACGAACGTCGTTTACGGATTTAATGAATTAAGACCGTTCTCGTCCTTTCTACAGCGATAAGCGCTTTATCATCCCCCAACCGCTTGAAGCGACATCGGTAATCGGGTTAGATTCTACGATGGGATAATCGATACCGATGATTTTAGGTATAGGTATTCGGTAAAACGAAATGAGTTTTCTCTTCCCTCAATCACATTCATTATTTTCTTTCTTTCTTTTTTTTATTTTGTTTTTTGTTTTGTTATTATTTATTTATTTTTTATTTTTTTTTGTTTGGTATATCATTTATTTTTAATTCTAACAAAACTAGGAAAAAAATCTAGGAAAATACTTTCTCAGAGATTTGATTGTAAAACTACTACTCGGGTTGGTTTATTCTGCTTTTTGATGACGGCGCGCCGGTCAGAAATGATTTTGGTAGACTCTGTAAACAACTTGGTCGTGCTTGTTTCTAACTATAGCAGAAAACGTAAGCTCGGAGTTAAATGTACGAGAGAGTTATTCTCATTTTACGTTTTGCGTTTACGTCTTATATACATTATATCTATATCTATATCTACATACTCGAAAGTAGATATTTATTTTCCTTAAGTTAACGTCTCGTAAGCGATTACAATTATAATTTTATATATTAGAATAAAATTTAACAAATGTTAAAAACGCTTGACAAAAATTTTATCGATATTTAATATATTATTATTATACATCAATAATTAACAAATGTGTTAACAAAAATTGATGAGAAAATTCTCTCATAGAAGAAAAATATACAAATCTTAAGAGAAATAAAAGACAGAGAAAGAGAGAGAGAGAGAGATAGAGAAAGAAAGAAATGGACGAGTATAAAATATATAATACGAGAATGATTAAAAATATATATGTATGCGAAACATATTAAGAGTTTCTAGCGTGTTCTTACGAAAACGCATATCTTCGAATATGTTCGAAACTCATATACAACACCGAGCTTAGAATTCCTCGAGCACATAAATACATATTTACGTACATCTTATACATATGTATTTACCTATATCCTTTTGCGCATCCTGAATAAGTACCGCCGGGACCAATCACCAAGCACCTCCTTGTTCTCTTCCATCTCAAAGCCCTCCACCCACTCCCACTCCCACTCCTACTCCTTTTCCACTTTTATTCCCAATCATTAAATTATCCTCAAGATAAAGTGGTACGTTACTCTCTCTCTCTCTCTCTCTCTCTCTCTCTCTCTATCTCTCTTTCTCTCTTTCTTCCTCAATTTCATTTCTTCCTCGTAAACAACGAGCAAATTTAGGTACATATACATTTAACAAATAAAATGGTTGTATACGCGATCCTTCTCACGTGCACTATTAAAGTACGAGAGAGAAAAAAAGAAAGAAAAAGAGAGAGAGAGAGAAAGAGAAAGAGAAAGATAATAAGTCAAATCGATGAGCTTAATTACACGTGAATATCGTATTAACGTGCAAACGCATAAATTAATAATAAATGCAACCAACTTCCCTATCGCATATTAATATAAATAAATCTTATGCAAAAATTTGTTTCATCTAATATGTTTTACTCAATCGAGTGTGTGTCTTTGCTACGAAATATAAATTCGTTCATGGTGCATACAAGTGCGTGTCCTCTCTCTCTCTCTCTCTCTCTCTTTCTCTCTATCTATGTATGCGTATGTATATGTGTGTATTTACTACATACTAACAAGTATTTATGATAAAAGAGCTATTATCGAGTCTTGACTTGATACAGCAACCAAGGTACGTCTGATGATATCGATGAAAACGTCGATATATCGAGTGAACCGATCGAAACCACTTCTCTTACGATTACTTTCCTCTATCCCCCTCCCCCTAGCCCACCTTACTCACCCTCTGACCCCTCTTTCTCTTCTACAAAAGAACAAAGAAGCAAGCAAGAACAATGTCGCTACTGCCTTCTCATTCGACCTTGTTGTTGTTGTTGTTGTTATTATTATTATTATTGTTGGCGCTGTTGTGGTTGTTAATACTCCTACCTATCCTTATATTTATCTGTTGTTCCTAAACTATCGTCAATATATAACAGAAAAATTTTCTTTTTAACGATTGATATTAAAACAATTTAAACCTTTCGATACTAATCACGATTATAGTCGTCCAACATTGACTTGATTGATACTCGTCCAACTTAGTATAATTGTGTAATTATTATTATCTATCATAATGTTCAAGAATTTTGTTATATTTAATTTTTAATCATCATAAAACACTTTTTTAATCTCGTAATTATATATCATACCTTCCGTTTGTTATATAATACTTTTTACATTATTATATTTACAATGAAATTAAATGGTTATGTGACCTTTTTATTCGATAATAATGTTTAGGATAATAATTATTCGATGGAACGACAATATTCGTTGTGAACAATTGTAAAAGTATAGTGATCTATCAAATAAAACCGTATCGAAAGGGTTAAAAAGAGTTAACGCGTGTACGATAACGCAATAAATGGTTTGAAATGGTCATGCTGCAGTTGCTGGGAATCAATTCATCCATGGTTTTTACTTTTCTTTTCATTTTTTGTCCTGAAAGCAAAAAAATAATAAAAATCGAGGAAGGTAGTCCAGATCGAACGTTTCTAAAGTAGAAAATAATTCGAATATCCATCGTGTCGAAGGGGTTTCCTCCAGCTGACTCGAGCAATCGATAAATTCGAATCGACGACGGCTTTAAAAATACGTTTAAAAGAAGGATAGCAGGGGAGGGAGACAAAATATGAGAGAAAGAGAAAGAAAACTCAATCGGTGCGTTTCAAATCACCGAATTAACTCGATCGAGTCTTTTAACAAATTTTTGCATTTTTGTGGTTATGCCTCGACGGGAAAGAATTAAATAAGCGAGACAATGAAACGAAAAATGAATTTTTGAAATGAAGAAAAATGAGAAAGAGAGAAAGATAGAGAAAAAGAGTGTGTGAGAGAGAGAGAGAGACAGAGACAGAGACAATGAAAGAGTAAATAAATACAAGAATGCATATCCGCGGCGGGCACAATAAGCACGCACGCACAACAATTTTTAAAAAGAAACTAAAAACAAACGTATCGTCGGTTAGGTGTGTGCGTGAACAAAAAAATAATAAATATAAAAATAATAAATATAAAAATAATAAATATAAAAATAATCAATATATATATATATATATATATATGGCAGCGTTAAATTTGTATAATTCAGTTAAATCGTGACAAATTTAGGTTTTACCTGAATTAACTCTTTTAAGCATTTTTTCGTAAAAGCATATAAAAAGCATTTGATAATATACTAATTGTAAAACTAATGAGTTTTAGAAAACTAACGAGATTTATATATGAATTCGCGAGAGACAAGTAATTAAAGTATGAAATTGAAATTTGATCCACCTTTAAAATCTGCTTTACTTTCTATAACAATGCAGACATAGTTATCCGTTCTGATTTCTTTCTGTACTTTGAAAACCAATGTTCTATTAGTCGTGCTGTTCTATCGGATCCAATCTACGAATTCAATTTCTATTTTATACTTTAACTACTTGTCTCTCTCGTAAATTCATGTATTATATAATTGAAGTAGTATGGTATTTCTATCTTCGTTCATATTTTAAACAAATCGGTATAATTATTTCATGGTTTAACTGGTCATTTCGCAAATTAACGCCAACATATGTACAATGCGATTATTTTAAAACAAATTTTTATAACTTTAAATGAGTTTTAATTTTTTAAAGTAATTTTTATTTTGAAAAAAAAGGAAAAAAGAAAAACTTCAATTTAAATATCTAGGAGAAAGTTTTATAAAACAACGTGTATAAAGATTTATGTTCCGCTTCATTTTCACCTACTTTGAAATTTTAAGTAACACCCCCTTGTCTCGTAATACTTCATTTGTTCATAAGCAAAAATCGCGAGTATTTGGGGTGGAAAGTTTTAAAATAAACGCATTATATACTATATATATAAAAGGTATATATACACAGATGGATGGTAAAACAGAAGGGGGATGATTCTACGTGTAAAAATAATTCGAAAAAAATACAATTTTCTGAAATGCGAAATTTTTTTCAACTTCATATATATGAATATATAAATATATTCACGTATATACTTTCGTCGTTCTGAATCGTTATTATACAACATGAAGAAGATTGAATTTCACTAACGAAAGATTATTTTCTACGAGTATCCTTTCTAATTAAAAAAGAAAAAAATAAAGAAGAAAAAAGGAACACAGAAATATACAGAGACTTTCAAAGAGACGTTCTCTTTGACCATCTAACAATCGTCGTCTACAATTTCTTTGAACATTCTTGAAGCTAAACGAATATATTCATTGAAAAAAAAATATCATAGTAATTACGTTAATTGTGGGATCTTTATTGCTGATTCATATATCAAGAATATAGATTATTAGAATTAGGAATAATGAGATGTAATGAAGGTGAAGGTTAGATTTGAAAAAAGTATCGTCCTTTTCAAAATATTCGTAATTAAAATTAAACGTTTCAAGAGTGAATTTACATATGTTGAAGCTTCAAAAACGTTCAAACAAACAAACAAACAAAATAAATATAAATAAAAAAATAAAAAAGAAAGGCACACTACTCGCCAAATTGTATAATGACCATTTTTATTTCCTCTTTTTTTTGTTTTTATTAAAATCAGAATCAAACGTTGGATTTAAAAAGCCGAATTTGCATGAAACAATGCACGCCTCACACCTATCGACGATTAACGTATTTACGAGACACACCGAAACACATATTAAAACACAAATGACACGGAGAAACATATATATATACACGCATTTATGAAAAAAGAAAAATTGAAAAAGTCAAAAAGACACATACTCATACACATACACACACATACACAATGGTCTCACGCGCATTCGTTGACCACTGCTGGTTTTACACGTTTTATCAGTCCTTTTGACTTTTTATATAGATAGAATTGTACAATATTTCTTAACGGGAAATCGCTAATCACATTATAATTATTTATTTATATTATTATTGTTATTATCCTTATAAATTGAGAACATTGAGAGAAAGAGAAAGAAAAAAATATACACGGAATCTCTCTAAAACATATTTACGTATATACGTCGACAGATGCGTGAGTATTAGTATCAATAAAAAAAAAAAAACACAAAAGATATAAGATGAATTTTACATTTGAACGTAAAAAAAAAGAAAATTGCGCACCGTCGACGTAACTCGTTTATTATATAAAAAAAAAAAAAAATAAACCAAGCATTATTATCATTTCTATTCTTGTAACATCGTCATCGTCGTTATCGTTACGATCCTCGTCGTGGTTGTCGGCCCATTTCGTGAGGCATCACACGTACGATAAAACACACGTGTGTTATATAAGTAATCTGAAAATAAATTATAAGTACATATATTTACCACGCTACTAACACGCTAAATGTTCCCGACGAAAATTTCGGGGAGACATCGAGGGGACCGAGCGGATGAATATAAAATAACAAATAACATATAAAATAATAAAATAAAATAAAATAATAAAATAAAATAATAAAATAAAATAAAATAAAATAAAATAAAATAAAATAAAATAAAATGAGATAAAATGAAGTAAAAAATAAAATGACAAAAAAAAGGCGAATTATATATAAATATAATATATATATCTATAATAATAATAATATATCTATTATTGTACCGAGAGTTGCGCGCTGCGTTTACGATTTAAGCTAGTTTGTTTGTAAATAAAAAATACTATTTGACTCTCTGACACGTCACGTCTATTATGAAAAATGTTGATCCTTCTCTTAAATTCTTTCAAATGTAATCCCTCTCTTCTTCTCCTAATTCTCATTTTCTTTTGATTTCATTTGACAACACACACGTATACTTTCTTTTTACTATCGCACTTTTTACACTAGATCATATCGTTTAATCGTTCAAAGTACACAACGTAACTGTTCGTACGTAAGACACATGCCAATATTGTCCTCCAGTGTGGTCCCTGTATCTTCTCCAGGACCAAACGCAACCCTTATACGAAAGGGCGTTGCCCAAGTCTCGACACGACAATTTCCATCGTTGTCTAGCTCGTTTCTATCACACAACGAATCACCGCAATGTTCGAGATTACAAATTCCAACACCGTTGTTGCCAGGCTAAAACAAACAAATTTACTTTGATCTTTATCAATTCATTTTCTTTCTCTCTCTCTCTCTCTCTCTCTCTTGGTTTTTCTTTATCCTATTAAAAATCATCATTGAATTTGATACTTTTTTTATGTTTGTTTGAATAAAACGATACAAATATTTCTATGGTTGCTATTTATTTGGATTTATTATTTTTATACATTTCTGATCAGTATTTATAATAAAATATTAATGTTTAACGTAAAGGAATCAGTATCAAATTAATTAATAAAAAAACTGTCAATATGTTAAAAATAGATGGATAGATTTATAATAAAATATTAGGATATATCCTGTACACAGAATCATGATGCAATTCTGTTCTGTTATAAATACTGATCATTTATTTAAAATCCTTACAAATGATTGTTTATATTGAATAATATATGTATCCACGGGCCATTCATTTTACAAAAATATTCATCGAAAAATATGGAAAAATATAAAAGCAATAATTAAAAGTTTACGTTTATCTATCAATAAAATAATATAAAATAAAACAAAATCATAGATTACCGTGATAAATTCCTCGAAATCACAAGGTATAAGAACTTTGTCTCTGCATCTTCTAGTTAATACTGTTAAAGCTGTAACAGTTTCTTCTTCATCCGGACCACTTCCAGATCCTTCCGTTAAAAGATCCGTTTGTTCAGTGCCCGTAGAATTACCGTTAACGTTATCACTGACATTTGTAAAATTGTTAGTAGAATTTCTTCCGAGAACAATAACCTTAGCACTCGTTACAATTTGCTGTGATCGTAATCTTGGTGCTCCTATTCGAAATGAATCTTTCGAACAAGGAGAGTAAGATATCCCACACATTTCTTTTTCTTGACGCACGCAAATCAGATAATCCTGATTCGCTAGAAATCTACCATTTGGTAGATAATTCAATGTTCTAAGGGTACCATTTGGTGAACTAAAATATTGAAGACAACCAGCTGGTGCACGATCCTCAAAACCCAATTGGATCACTCTCATTTCCCACATTCGCGAATGAAGTCCATTTGGTAGCTTAAAATCAAGGGTCACGGGTTCGTCGGCCTCGTTTACATCTAAATATACTGGCCGCACGAAAGAGAGAGAGAGAGAGAAAAAAGACAAAAAAAAAATAGAAAATATACATATCTATATAAATATATTTCTTTAATAAACGACAAAAGAAGTGTGTTGTTGTTGTTGTACTTACTGTGCTGCCCGCTATTCCAACCACACAATCTCAAAGACGACTTATTACCATTCCTAATTTCCATAATATCCTCGTCACAGATACCAGTTCTTACGTTGGGTTGACCCTAAAATTATTTTCAAATAAATTACCCAAAGATTTGTTAATGTCTGAAAGGAAGATTAATCTCTTCCGATAGATAAAGCCTTCTTAAGAGGTAGACTTTTCTTCTTAAATCGTAGAAGCGAAGAATTCTTTCGTTTTAAAAATTCAATACAAAACTTTGGAAGTAGAAAAAGAAAAAGAAAAAGAGAAAGAAAAGAAGAGGAAAGAGAAAGAGATAGAGAGATGTTAGTTGGCACCAAGTGTTTGAGTTCACTCTAGATTTAAAGAAAAGTTCTCTCTTACATTTAAGAAAAGTGCTAATGCATTCGCTAAGGGTTAAGTATTTATATGAGATCAAAGATCAACTGTAATGATTAATGTTCTAAATTTAAAATCCGATAGGTGGTACATTTTATAATACAATAATGTAGCATAACTAAATTGGATTTATATATTTATCTAACTTATTATAAATTTATTTATAATATATATGAACATATATATTATATATATATTTGTATTTATCATAAAATCGTTCCCAAACCCCATTAAACAACCGATATTAATCTAATCCAAAGGTGAATTGGAACGTGGAAAGATATGATCGAATTCGCACTTACTATGTTAAAGTGTAAGAAGTCGATCCTCAATTGGCTGACCTGCCTATCGATCTTCTGGACGACTACCGAGCAGTTCATGGGTCGGTCGATGAGGTTCGGGAAACCAGGACTGGTCACGTAGGTCAAATTATTCTGCACCTCTTGATCGCAACTTGCCGTAACTTGTAATGGGAACAAATTAATGAATAATAATGGAAAAAACATTCCCGTCGGACTTAAAAATTATTCAATACATAAATTCCTTATTAACTCTTTCATAAGCTTTCATTTATTTCTTTTTCTTTATTTTTTTATTTATAAATATAGTTCCTTAGAGTAAAAAAAACTTGTCAATTTTATTTAATACGATTCTTAAATAATATTATTTTGTTTTGTATACACGAATATATATATATTACCATTTCTATCTACTCTTAAAGCCCGGTCAATTACGTTTATTTTGTTCTTTTTTTAATCCTAAATAGCCGGGGTTCTTTTCTCGAGGGTAACGAGTCCTTAAATAATTGAAGAAGTTTGAAACGCAATAAACCAACGACGCGGAAAAGGAATACTGTAATTAAATTATTTCTCAATGGTGGCCCACTCGACTATATTTCAGTCAACCTTTTCAAGATAAATTTAACGTAGAAATGAAATAGCCGGTAAAGGTACCGAAGTATAAAAGATCGTGTATGCTCTTATAACTCAACTGAGCAATATAAATTTCATCGTTCAATTACGACCGAACTATCTACTCGCAAATCGATTTTTATAAGAACGCTTTTGGATTTCTTAGAATTTTACGAGACAAAGTAGAGGTGTATATCGTATTTCAAAGTAGTTACACATCAGGATTCTGTATACAGCGATAAAAAATTGCTTTAATAAAAAAAAACTCATTTGTAATATATATATATTTTTATTAACTCGACAATTAAGCTTTGCATTAACTCTTGTACGATAAGTAGTGCTCGTTTAAAGTGCATATTGTAAGACAATTATTTCGCCAATTACTTTCATACAAAATTAATCCCGTCGTTTCAAAAAATAAGAACTTATTTATTCAATTAAAAAGTATTATGAGAGATCCATTATTCAGATAAAGCAATCTTGTTTTACTATTTCCAACCAAAATACGATATCGATAAAATATCATTTTAATCAATTCTTACGGTGATTAGATTTTTACTTTAACTCACATTCTTTACTTATAAATAATAAAAATATATTATACGTTATGATTCTCTTTTATAAAATGTACTAAAAATATATATTACCATCTGTTATATTAGATTAAACATTTTTTTTTTTATTTAATTTCAATTTTTATATCTTCCATGTTGTAAGTGATCCTATTCTATTATAACTTTCACATTAAATATTTGTTCACAAGATAATGAAAAAAGAAGAAAGAAAAAAAAAAATGCAATACCAATATATCATCATCCTATATTAACACAAATAATTAAATAAATTATAATTTAATATATTAACAAGGTTCAATCGTATTCGTTGAAAAGAATAACGTTGAATTTGCTTCGGATTTCTTAATTTGAAATGAAACAAAAAAAATACTGAATATACCTATTACATATGACGATGAGATTTTTTCTTTTTTTTTTCTAAAAAAGAAAACAGAGAAAAAGAAAAAGAGTAACAAAGATGAGACATTCTTATGCCAACCCAACGTTACTTGGTGCTCCGATAACGAGTTCTCATTCAGGCATTCAGTGGCCGTTTTAGAGTCTCCGGGGTTTCATTCAACGGCCGTGTCTCTACCACACATTTACCATCTCGTCTGGTAGATTTAACTTCCTCCTTCGTGTATAGTAAGGGAACAACATTAAAAATTTACGGGGCAACCGGTATCGGCGCTTTCCGAGAAGGAATGCTACTTTGTAAACTTTTAATTCTTTATAAAAGTAGGTGTGAGAAATAAACGACACTGCCAACTATCAAGATACCAAGCCCGATAAATCTTATTTGCAAATGAACAAATATAGATATAAGTAAGTAGATACACGTGTATACACACACATATATCTATTTATGTAAATATTTATATACGTATACATAATATATAGAATAGATTCATATTCGCAAATAAATCGATCCGAAGTGACGTGAAAAAATTCGTAATACAGTATTGTAATACATATGAGAGAGATAGAGAGAGAGAGAGAGAGGTTTATATTTCCAATTAATTTTTATTTATTTAACATTTGCGAATATATACGCGTAAACTGGGAAGATTCTGAACGTGCCCTCTCGTCGCTTAATTTCCCTCGAGAAATATCGTTCTGCATCTTGGAGATACAAATTGCTTTAATCTTTGCCAAAGTAAAATTTCTAACGATAGAATTCATAATGATGAAAGAAAGGGGGAAGGGTATTAAATCTTCTAAGAATGTTCTCTCTCTCTCTCTATCTATCTATCTATCTATCTATCTATCATCTCGCTTTTTCTCTTTACCACCGTAGTAAACATAAAGGCTGATGTGAATTTTCAACGGAGGTTAAAGTCCGATATCTCGCATAATTAAATATCGAGTTAATTGTTCGGCCTCGCGTGGTGACTACTCGACAGGAATATCAAGCAGGATCCGATGGGAACGTGACTAAAGTTAACTTTTACCTAACTTAAGATAGTTTACTAATTATCGAATCACGATTCTATAACAGGAGATTTTCGTGACGTATAAAACGACGCGTATAGAAAAATTTATCATGATTATATTTTTATATTAATTGGATATATCTAACTATCGTTTACACTGTTGTATATTTATACACGTATGTAACATTTGTATATTACATATACAAAATTAGATAAATGATAGGTTTATAACGGTACACATTTATTCATAATTAGAAAAATATACGCGAGTTATTCTCGAGATTGTGACCGAAATTCAATGAAACTAACGTAGAAGATACGAATATCCGGGTGACGAATCCCAATATCCGGATGACAAATCCGTACGATCCAACTGTCCGAGAAAGCACGAGATGTGCGCCATCCTTTTCATCGTAATCGGATTACTTCGATATCCGGATACCTGACGATGCTTTTTTATTCTATCAGCTAATGAATATGATGAAAAATAAAAATACGTCAGTCACACAAGTGATCTTAGTCAAACAATCTACTATCAATAACAGCAACCAATTGTAAGTATATAAATATACCTATATTATAATATATTACTAATACAAAATCGTTATATACAAATTTTTAATTATTTATATTACCTTGAGTTATCTAAACTACGATCTTGTTCTAGCTAAAAAGTTGAATATTATTTATCGATTGTGTCGATCTATTGTATTATTATTACTGTTCTAAATGTTCGCGCTTATAGTTCGAGAAATATAAAATACGATATAAAGAAGGGAGAGAGAAAAAAAAGAAAGAAAGAAAAAAAAAAGAAATAAAAGCACGTAAAGCGGTTTTGTCGGACATGCAAGCCGCGCAAACAAAGTTTTATGTGGGACACGTGACCGACTCGAAAGGCAATTAGGTAACTGTATAATCCCGACCCGCTCATACATTTTTTCTCAGCACGCAAACTCCGAGATCGGAGCTCAATGTTTCCTTATTTCTTTCTTTTCTCTTTCTTTCCTTCTCTCCTTCTTATCTTTTATTTTTTTCGGTTTATTTTTTTTTTCCTTTCGTTCTTTACTTCTTTTTTTTTCTTTTTTTTTTTTCTACCTCTTTTCTTCTGATTTACTATATATACCGACACCCTCCCACACTCTCCTTACGTGCAACCATTCCGACTTTAACAAATAAAATCTCTTCTTCGAAATCTCTCGGTTTCATACTCTAAAGCATGCAACTATACACTTCGATACCGTTAACTAAATCATCAACCTGTTTCAATCGACCCAGTGACCATTCTCTTTCCTTCAGCAAGATCTTCACGATTCGATTGAGAACAACTTGGTGATCATCGAGAATCTAATACGATCATTTATTCTTACACCATAGATAAACTGCCTAAGTTTGACCATAAACAAAATGTTAATATAAACATATATATATATATACCCATACATAATCAATAATTATTCATTTTGTGTGTGGAGAGATTTTTAATTTAAATATAATAAAAATATATAAATTTACTAATATATATTGAATTTAATATATCTGAAAAAGAAAGAACAAAGAGAAGTAATAATATTAACAGAGATATCATGCATATGCATGTGCAATGTTCTAGAAAATGGAACAAATAGGGGAAATAATCGAAAATATAACTCACATATACAACAAACACCAAATCCAAGAGCGCACGGTCCATATGATTTTCCGTTTTGAATACGACATTGATACGTATTCATGCATATCCCACGTCGTCGTTTATCTGAAGCTAGACACTCTTCCTCAACTGGGATTGGAAAAAAATTGAGAACTGGAACAAAACATTACAAAAGTATACGTAAGTGATCGATAAATTGAAGATTACAATGAATTATTATGATCTACGAGGTTTTTATAGATACATTAATTATTTTAAAAAGAAATTTTACTTTCCAATTTGTTATCAAGTTCAATTAAAAGTAAAGAATATATAGAGAAAACAAGGAATGTTACTTAAAATTTTAAAAATTAATCGAACATAGCAACACACTTGTTGTTCGTCATATATTTTTACGTGTATTTAAAAAAATTGTAGAAACAATTGTAGATGATCATAAATATATTAAATTCATTAAATATAATATCCTATGTGGGTTCGAAAGTAGGGAAAATCTAATGTTAAATATAAATGAATAATATAAATTCTCCAAAATTAAATGATTATTTATGCAACTTTTTATTTTTGATATTCCTTCGTTTGCCTCCCTTACATTTGTTCGTTAAAATTCGATAAATATTAAACTATAACTGAATTTAAAAATTGATTACGAACTCACCCCTTGATTGTGTTTTTAAATCAAGCATCTCTGGTTGATGTTTGATTCTCCAATCGAATAAACCGAACGACCATCCACAAGTGTTTACTGAAAATAGCAAGAGAAGAGCGCAAATGATCGCGAAAAGTCCTCTGGACTTTCGCATTGCTCCTAATCACGATTGAGAAAACAATTGTTTCGACGTTCTATTATTCCCTTATTGATGATCGTGATACAAAAATGACTATAGATCGTTGAAAACATCGATACACTCACAATTCTTTCGTGAAACTTTATAAAATTTGTTTATTCATAGGAACAAACCGAAATACCGGTTGATCAACTAACCGACTAACTCACTGACTGACTCTTGCAAGTCCCATAGGAACACCGTAAGACCCCTCTACGATCATCTTCGTTGATACTGTTACAATCGTTACCCTACTATTCACATGCTTTCTCATTTCTGCATATATGTATGCTAATTAGCCTATTAATAAGCAGAAATATCGGAATTTTTAATAATTTATATTTCAATAAAGTAGATAACGGGGTATTACACAATAATACTAATAATACTAATAACATAACATAATTTAGATATAATAATACTAATAACAGTATTATTATATCTAAATTAATAACACATACACTATAGTATTTTCTTTTACTAACATACAATATTATATTTTATATTTATATGTAGTATTATATATACAAGATATATTACATATCGAAATTCATTTCTTTATGAATAATTATGGAAATTTTAAATAAAAGAATAATAAAAATTCAAATAGTACAAATTCATATAATGGCGCGACTAATTTGACCAATGGCCTTCGCCGATTCATATCTCGTATAAAAAGTCTTTGTTTTTTAAATATTACTTTGTATTATTTTAAATTTGTATATTAAAGTATTAACACTTTTCAATGTGATTTATACAAATTACTGTAGCTAATAAAATTTAAAAAAAAAAAAAAGAAAAAAAAGGTTCATGGTTAATCGGATAAAAAATAATGTCTATCAGTTATTATGTTTGAATTTTTTCAGGTTACTTATACGAATACTATATACTTACATATAATTTCTATGAATTTTGTATCACTTTCTCCTCTCTAATTGCATATAATAAAAATAAACATTTTTAACACTTTATATTCGCGGTTCTTAGTTTAAAGAAGAAACAAAAGATGGTTACGACATAAAACAAGGAAAGTAAAGTTGATTCCAAAAGTTGCCGGACAGAGGGCAGTTATTACGACGAGAATATACTAACCATTTCTCGAACCTCATTGCACTCTTCTCGTAAAAAGCATTATTATGCGTAATACATATATATATATGCATACAGTGTATGAACTTACAATTATACATACACATATGCGAGAGCATGCGCATATTTGTGTTAACGTGGGATTTTTTTGATATCAAATAAGATATTGAAGAATCTAATAATTGTCAAGGAAGCAATAATTAGGGACTCTGCTTTAAACCATTGTTTTGGTAAGTGAAAATTATTTTCTTTTGATAATATTTCAGGTATATATATATATATATATATATAAAAAAAAAATTAAAAAACAAAGAAAACAATCCAAATTGGTAATATCGACAGGGACGATATGCAGGATCGTCGTGCTGGACTGCTGAGAAATACATAGCTACACGACTGTAGCTGATGAACCTTTTTTTATACTACTGGCCAATACGATGCATGAATAGTAATAATTTAAAAGCTGGTGTAATTATAACGGTAGTTTTGATAATCGTAAATAATCTTGTTTCAGTGAAAATATAACCTCACATTTACTAGGACTTATTGTGCCTTAAATGCTTTCCAGTGTATCACCTGTCTTATCACTTAATACACATAAAATATAAATTGCGTTCTTTACTATTATAATATATTCTATTTATATAGACACATATTATCAATGAAAATTATCTTTTTAATTGCATAATTGATATCCATAATATCGGTGTATATATTCCTATGTCGATATTCAACAGTATTGCCCATCGTATATCCTCAGTCATATTTTTATGATGTCTTTATCTTTTTAAACATAGATACAGATCTTATATAAAGATGGAATCTTTGTCTTTTTTCTTAAACGTTGTCTACAAGACAACGATATATATTTTACTCATAAACAATTTGCAAAGTTAGTGAATCTTAACTTTGCATTGCTAGTGACGGTTCTTATGTTATTTACTTAGTTAATTGTTTTGTGGTATTTGTGGTTCCTGAAGAAAGAACACGTTGTTAAAACAATAGTTTATTGCTTTATCGGTAAGTAACTGGAGTTTTATATCAATACTCCAGTATAGATAATATTCAGAGTCTTACGTTTGTAGTATACTATAAGTCTTTAATAATTAGAATATTTTCTAAGTTTAAATAAGTTTTCTAAAAGATCTTACCGATCCTAATGCTTTATCTATTCTTTATTCATTCGTATTGCACTTTGATACTTTCAGAAAGTGTGTAATGGGTGATCTTTCTATTCGTGGATCAACTATGCAAAATTTTGACGATCTTGATATAGAAGGGCGCAATCCTTCTCATCTTTCAGAAGAAGACAAGGAAAAGGTAATGAAAAGCTATGACTGATTCTGTGTTAAAATATTGTAGAGAATAATAAATGTAAGTTATTTACTTTAAATTAATAAAATTAGAATCTATATATTAAAATAAATAAATTTAATTGGTAACCGCATATTTTTGTAATAAGTTTTCTTACATTTGTAAGAGATTGATGTTTTTCATACAAAATTTATCTTCTACAGGAAGAACATGACCGAAAACGTTTAATGCGAAGCAGTGTAACTGCTGAAGATGGCACACTCAGACCTGTGTATTCCAAAACAGATGATGGTGACATATGGTGCCACATTTGTAACATTGCTCTGTTTGGAGCACATAAGTTGATAAGTCATAATTCATGTAACCGTCATAAAATTAAGTTGGACGAATGGCCATATCCGGTGTTATTATGGTCAAAACGTTCTGATATCGCGAAAGCAACTGCTCCTGTACAGTCAACTACTATTACGGATACTTTAGCTCCTGGTGAACCAGTACCGCCAGGAATGGAAGATCAATTAACAAGAACGACAACGATTCAAGTGAGTTTAGATCGTCACAGAAGTTCACCGCTTGTTGGTCTTGAATATTTACTTGAACTTGTGGACAATGATTCCTGCGAACCCAGTTATACATGTGTATTGTGTGATAAACGTGGTGATCCACGTACTGTGATGGCTCATATTACCAGTTACAATCATCGAATAACATATTTGAATAGACATTTTCCAACAATATCGCGAGCAATTACTGAATTACCGCGTACTCCTAATTACAAACGTGGAGCCAATGAAATATCAGTGTTAGCAGCAAAAAAAATAGAAGAACGATTCGGAAGACTACAACCTCAATTAGTAGACAAGAATCAATTTGAAAAAAATAAAATGCAATATATAAAAAGGATATTTCAAGACTATCATTTTAGGTAAGTTAATATATATTTTTTAATTCTATGTACCTTAAGTGTATGTTTAAATTCTATTTCTTCTTAGCAGTATCCCAAATTTATAAAATATTTAAATAAAACATGTTTTATTTAAATGTCTATTAAAAATGGGATCAAAATCTCTAAGTATATTTTCTCTGTATTATTATATTATGTATAAAAGTAATAGAAAAACTTCACCAAAATTGTAACAATTGATTAAAATAAGTTATCTGATATTACCTTGCAATCAAAATGGTTGTTTCCTACATACAGGGAAACACCTGAGTTAACATTAATGGAAGTTTACGATGTGAGATGGGTGACAAACTTTGAAGAAAAGATGGCTGAAATTGCTGGTAATAATAGTAATAAGAAAGGTGAGTATATGATATATATTTCTTTTATAATAGTTACATTAATTGTGTTGATTAGTGCTATGATATCAAAATTTAATTTCTCGCATTAAGATTCTCAATCATCCGAAGAGAAAACAGATGGCAAATTTAAAAAGGAAGAAAAGAAGCAAGAAAGATTATCACCGAAGAAAACAGAATCTAAACAAGATGTTACAAAGTCGTGAGTTGTCTATAACTTTGTAAAAGATAGATCGAATATATGGGACTAAAATTACATCCTATATTTATCATATAAACGTATTTTACAAACATTTTTAGGGTCTTCAAGATACGAATTCTTACCAAGGATAAATTAAATTTACGTAAACCCAGTGAAAAAAGTACGGATAGTTTAAAAAAATCACCTAAACGTCCATCCGATGAAACAAAGTCACTCTCATCTTTATCAAGTATATCAAGCAGTCCATCGCCATCTCGTTCAAGGTCACGTTCTCCTGTTCGTGGTAGAAGAAGTAGTGTATCGGATAAGAGTAGCAAGTATCGTACAAGATCGCGATACTCTCGTGATCGTTCGCGTTCAAGATCACGCTCACGTTCCCGATCACGATCACGTTCGTTGGAACCACTTCGGGAACGGGATAAGTGGGATAAGTATCGAGAACAGATAAGACGAGCCGAGGAAACACTCGATCGTGCGTTAAAGTTTCACGAAAAGAATCCTGAGAAACATCCTTCGTATCCAGACGAGTGGAAAAAATTTTGGAATAGACGATACAAAGAATTACAAGCCGATGGTAAGGACCCAAGTAAGCATGACTTCAAACCAGAATGGATTGAATTTTGGAACAAACGAATGCGCGAAATTCACAATGAACAGTTACAACAAAGAAAAGAAGAAATAAGAAAACGATTGGAATTATCGGAAGAAAAACCTCCTGAGAAATGGATTCCACCGTCAAGTAGACGCGATAGATCACCACCTCCTTCAAAACGTAGCAGACATCGTATTGATAGTGACGATGAGGTCGAATACGTAGGTACAAAAACGATTAAAACAGATTATTACGATCGTCACGATCCACGAGAAAGGGAATACGTTTATTCTTCCTACTCGCGAGGAAAAAGTAATATGTATCGTAGTTATTATTCTCGAATTGTACCACGTACTAGACCTATCCATTATGCGACACCCTATCCTGTAAAAGATAAATCACCAAGTCCACCGCCAAAGGAAGAAGTACTGAGCGAAGATTTAGAAGTGGTAGGATTATTAAGACTTCTGACAGCTCTCGAGGGTCAGTTAGGCTCTTTAGGTCCTAAAATAGTGTCACTTTTATCGCGAGCATTAGCTGCCGAGAAAGCTAAGCCCAATTCCGCTGAAGAATTGCTTTACGACGAAGAAGTTAACGTATTGTTCGAAACAGTCAAAGAGAAATTAAAGGGGCAGCTTTTCGCTGGCATGATTGAAAAAATGGCTATCGCTCCGACGAAAACAGCAATACAAAATATAGCGCAATTATTACACAAAGCAACCGAAAGTAAGAAAAAAATGGACGAGGAGAAAAAGAAAAAACACGAACTTTTGGAAGCAAGTAGAACTAGCAATTTTGTAAGTGGAAGAACTGTATATCCTAGACCCGTAGAGATGATTACACCACCAATTCATTCCGAACCAGTCACTGTTCCTGGCGTAGGTACTGTAGACAAAGTTGCAATAGCTCAACAAATAGCTGCTGCTCTTGTTGCACAAGGTAGATCGAATGTGTCTCAGGAAGAATTAGAAACATTAATTAATGCAGTAGTTGGTATGGCTGAAGCATCAAAACACTCAGACAAGCCTGTTACTACAGCTGACTTTGTGAAAGGCTTGGCTAGTGGTGGTACTGGTGTAACTGGTAGTATTACAAGTGGTGTTACAACTGGTATTACAAGCACTTTTCAAAGTAGTATATCAACATCCGCGTCTACTTTAATAACTCCGACGTTAACCGATACCGTAGATCAAGTTTCAAGAATGGAGAATTTATCGGATACTGATTTAAAGACATTATTACAAAATTTTAAAGATCTGAGTACGCATGAACAACACGGTCTTATAAATTTTCTTAAAAAATTAGAAGCTACTGACTTACCTAGGGTAGAAAAATTAAGAGCATTCGTTAATTTAAGCGTCGTAATACCTTCTAGTTTACCATTAACAAAAAAATCACCTACACCTGAACTAATCGAAATGTCGACGAGTAAGACTAACAGAAAAGCTTCGCCGTTTTCAATGCGTAAGGGAAATCAAAATCCGTCTGAGGAAGAAAACAAATGGATACCTAAACTAGATATGTTTGCTAACGACGACGAGGAAGAACAACAGCAACAAAAGAAGGAAGAAGATAAGTCGAAAGTGAAATTGGAGTTATCAGACGACGACGACGATTATACTTTCGAGGACATTTACAAAGCAGCTGATAAAAATGTAAACGAAAGTGAGAAAGGAAAAAAAAAGACACGTGCTTTTTCAAAATCTATTTCAAATTCACCGCGCTCCTGGTCTCGATCACGTTCACCTTCACGTTCACGATCACCAGCAACGAGGACTTCGGACGTCGCGAAATCTAACGATCCCAATGCGATCCTAAATGAAACTAAACGTTTAATAGCTAATATTATGGGCGACCTTCCAAACAAATACGTACCAAAATCACATATAAATTTTGCTAATGAAAATTCGGAACAACGATCCTCTGCTTCAAAGATGATAGATCATAGTTCATCCTCGATAGCTCCGATGCAACAAAACTTTTATAATCAAAATTATGATCCACCAACTAATCAGCCACCACGACCGCAAGCTCCACCATTAACTTATCCGAATGTTCCTAATCAACAATTCTCAAATTATCCACCTCAACCGCAAGTTTTTGGTACTAATCAGAATTACATAGACAATGGTTATAATTATCAAGGATATGGCAATATAAACAATCAAAATCAATATGGTTCACCGTCAACTGTACCACAAAACCAGTATTCTCCACAGCAAGCATATGGTGCTTCCACAGGATATGGTGGTCCTCCGGGTGGTCATCCATCCGGATATCCTCAACAACAATCACCTCAACAACCGCAACAAGCTCCATATGGAGCGTACCCACAACAGCAACGTTTTTATTAAACGTTTCATTCTATAGATAATACTAACAGCGCGTTTGTCGATAAGAGAAGACCAACGACTAATAACAAATTTTATACAAATCTTATTGATAATCGATCCAAACAATGTCTTTCTATTTCTAGTTGTTTTTAAAAAAATTTCTTTCAACCAACTCAAAATGGAATTATATTAATAATTGTTTCGTGATAAAAATATCCGATTCTTATGTTAATTGTAAAAAAGGAAATATTACTATCCGTATATATTTACGTTATAAAATATACGGCAAAGGAACTTTTTATTTACATTTAAAAATTCCAATTGTTTTAACCAACATTTATTTTTGTTAAATGTAAAAAATGCAAACCGAACTAATCAACTGCGTTTCCTTGCATTACTGCTTTCCAATGAACACTTCTTTTTCTTTTTCTCTCGTTCGTTATGACCCCTACGTTCGAGAGATTTTGAAGTATTGTTACATTGGCTTCTTTTTTCTTTATACGTGGTATCTGTTTTTTCTTTTTCCTTACAACTTTATTGTCTCGAAATTAATCGCGCAAAACCTATCTCCTTAACGTGAAAATTGTACAAGAAAAGTGAATGCTACGAATGAATGTGTTTTGTATTACTGTCGTGTGTGTGTGTGCCCGATCGATACGTCCTGCGTAATAAAAGAGTAAGTAATAATGCAGTGTGTTATATTGAACTGTGCAAAATATTTATACACACACATATATATATATATATATATATATAAGATAATTCTTAATTCTTGATACAAATTTTAAGGAATGATAAAGCATACTAATGTAAAACAAAAAAAACAACAAAATTGTTGTTCAATAGCTTTTAACTATTTAATTTTATCATCTTTTCAAGTTTGTATTATTAATTAATAATTGTCTTGTACATTTTACAAAATATGTGTATGTGTATATATTATTACTAATTGCAGTATGATGAACATAAAAAATTCATGTGTTATATTATACACTATCCGATAATATAAGACGTCTATTTAAGTTTCACTTTATTTTGATTCTTATTATTATCATTTTCTAGACATTACAGAGAAAGCTGATGATAAACATTGTACACCGGAGAAATCTAAAAGAATGCTGATGCCATAAAAAAGAAAGATAGAAAAATGAATAAATAAATAAATAAATATAAATAAGGTATCGAGATGATACACACAGTTCCAGATAATCGAGCAACTATTGTAAAAGTATGAAATTGAGCGTAATCACGTGAAAATAATAATTGTAAGGAGATGAAAAAAATACATCAAAGTTAATTCATTTATTTCCGTAGTATTTTTACTCTTACCATTTTCGTTTGTATATAAGTAAACATCGAAATTCTGTTTTCATGATCTAGAATAATATTATTAATAATAATAATAATAATAATAATAATAATAATAATAATAATTTAAAAAAAAATTAGATGTGCCACTTAAGCAAAAAAAAAAGTACGCGAGCAAAAATGACGATATTCTTCTCGTGCTTTATTGTTACAGCAAATAGTAATTTATTGAAATATCAATATACCTGCTAACTACTATTTAATAATTGCACAATGACTAGGTTCCAAAGATTCCGGGGATCGTTCGTTCGTGCCTTCCCTTTTATTTTCTTTTTTTCTTTTCCAATAAGAAAAAAAAGGAGCAAGATTAGGCTAGACGAGCTTATCGCGAATAATTAAATAGAAGCAGCACAGGTGACGTGCAACAGCAACAGTTTCATCACATATTTACACTTTTCTTTACACAATAAAGAGCAAGAAGAGAGAGAGAGAGATAAAGACAAGAACATGAAAGAACACGAACTAAAAAAAACTACGACTATTTCGGTACGAGTCCTCTGGTCTTCGGATAAACTGGAGTCGGAATTTGTTGCATCTTTGGAACGCTTCTTGGCCTAATCCTTGCCGATTGTAATCGTGGTTTGGAACGTAATTTAGCATTTGAAGCATCAACATCGATGTCTCCCTCATCTCGAAGAGCCTCTTCAAGCACAGCTTGGATTGTTGGTGCAATAACTGGTCCGTGATAATCCGAAGTTGTTCTAACTGGCATATCCAGATCTAAATTCAAAATATTTTCTCCAGCATAACGACACCCACGTCCCATTGCTAAAGCAATTCGAGCATATTCGGAAATTGGTCTACGTGCACCAGGAATTGACGTAGGACGTTCTATCGTTTCTATATTCGATGCTTCCGGATTATTCAAATTCCAACAGTCTTCTTCCTCGTCATAATGTATCCTAGATAATATCTTGCTTTTCTCTTCCTCAGGAATAAAGTTTTCGATTATCAGATATTTTAATTTAAGCTCCTTCATTAATTCATGCTGCGTTTGTTCCAAGTCACGTCTATCTCTGTTAAAGTCATTGGTAACGTCATCTAATTCTTGCTTTAATACTTGCAACTTAGTAAAACATCTTCTTAACTTTTTAGATTTAACATCTACTTCCTGTTGCAAAGTAGTGTATGTTTCTCGTACACCAACCATAGTTACTTCCTCGTCTTCTAATTTTTGTTGCATTTCAACTTCGCGTTTTTTACGCTCGGCAATCTCCGCAGCCTTCTGCTCCAATGCTCTTTGCTGTTCATTCGTATGATCAATGATATTCTTCCCACCACACAGCATCTTGCTTTCTAAATCTTTTATTCTCATTACAAGGTTCTCAGTCTCTTGTTTCTCAGCCTTAAGTTGCTCGGCTATTAATTTCTTATCTGTTTCGATGGTCTTGTTATTGTTATCCTCTTCTTTACTATCCTCCGCATCTGATTCTGAATCTACAGCAAGATCGTCTTCTCTCTTTTTCTTCGTTTTCCTCTTCTTACGTTGTACCATACTTTTCTGAGCTAATTTCTCTTTTAAACGACCTATTTCTTCTTGATATTGTCTCAAAAGTGCATCCTTAGGATCTTCATTTATTCGTGGCTTGTTCTTAATATTCTTAGCACGATTAGCATAACGCAATGTCGTTAGCGTTTCATCATAATTATAACTGGCAGGCCCAATATTAGCAACCATAATAGTTTTCGAATTACCTCCCAAAGAATCTTGCAATAATCTTGTAAGTTTTGAATCTCTGTAAGGTACGTGAGTAGTTTTACCATCAACCAATGCCGATATAACGTTACCGAGAGCAGAAAGGCTTAAATTAATTTTACTCGCTTCCTTCAGTCTTTCACCGGACGCGCCGGTTTTACTTTGTCTCTCGCTACCAGCGAGATCGACTAGATTCAAACGACCTACTCTAATACCGCCATTATCACCAATGGATCCCATCTCAATAGTGATCAAAAATATTGCGTGTGAACGAGAACTATGCTCATTCATGTTCGTAGCACCGATCGTCCTATTTTGATTACCTTCGTTCATTAAACGTTGAATTTCCGCAGCGCTTTTACAAACGGCTGTTGATAAATCCTTCACGAATACACCAGACTCTGGTTTTTCTTTAAGTTCGAATCGAAGACTCTGATCACGATGAAGAAGATCACGTATCTCTTCTTGATAAATTTCTAAGTAACTCGCTCTCACGAGATATTGCATGTTTTCTGATCTTCCTATGTGATTAAATATATGCTCGAATGATCTTGGAATGATACCACGTCTTTCGTGTTCCATTTTCGAGCCTTCCATCGTATAAGTTTTACCTGTACCAGTTTGACCATAAGCAAAAATGGTACCATTGAAACCATCCAATACCGAGGAGACCAAAGGTCTCACGGTTTCTTCGTAAAGTTCTTGTTGGGTCGAATGCCAATCGTAAACAGCATCGAAGGTGAAAACCTTGACATTGTCCGTTGATGGATCGTCTCGAGGATGACGTATTTCTACCACTCCTCTCGACGGTATGACGTCGACTACACGAATATAGCCTCGTGCAGTTTCCTTCTCGTCCATTGGCCTGCATCTTACTACAACCTGGACGCACTGAGTTGCTACATCCGCTGCTGTCGCCGATCCACCCCCCGATCTCGAACTTTTTTTCTTCAAACTCTTCGACAAATTATTATCCGACTTATCCATTATTTCTTAGGATAAATCAAACGCGTGCGAAGAAATTTTACCTATCAAACAAAAACAACAATTTTTACGTCAACATAATAATGATTAATCAAATTTAATTTTCGATATAAAATAAATACTATACAATGATAAATTAAATAGCATTTTTGTTAATCCTTGTCATGATTGTGTACGAAATCAAAAGGCAACTTAGCAAATTCACTTAAATTTAAATATCTTTTAATTGTATAAAAATCCTTATTTATTTAATTATATCCTTTTACGTGACAACGTTTCTTAAAATAATTGATATTGATGAAAAAAATGCAAATATAATAAAAATATAATTTTTTTAAATCTAAAGTTGTCAAAGGACAAGCTAATTTCTACGACTAAGCATGTATTTGCATTTACCTTTTTAAACAGTTTATGAGTCCTGTCAAATATAAGACGGAAAGACAGGATTTAGTTTAAAAGACTGATTAGACGGATAAAAGATCGACGATTCTTTGGGTTCCTGTTCGTAGATTATACTCTTCTGCAACGTATCGGTATTGATCCATTGTTTGCCTCTAAGACTCCCTCCGGCACTGTCAACACGCGACTCGTGTTGTCGTTACGTCTGTTATTATCGACTTTCAACAGCGTAACGCCTTAGTGATCATTAATGATTTAAACTTACGCGACGTGATATCAGCCGTATTGTGACGAAAATACACGACGACGTAAAATCCTTGGGATGAAATAAAACGAAGGCATGACTGGTATCTCTCTCTCTGCCTTCAAGAAACACACAACTGACAGCGGCAATAGATATAGTATATAAAATAGATTAGTTACTCATAATACCGAGTCTGCGCACTGAACCCCTTCCGAGTCATTCGAGTTACCCAATCGATATCTTACGCATGCGTAGTAGTATCTATTTTATTTACGCGCCAAAATTGATTTCTCTAATCTACGGATATACTTTTAAACTGTTCAACTGTTTTACCGACCAAAACGGTATTGTTATGTTCTTTAACAGCCAATGAAGCTCGAGTAGCTTCTTCCCTCTAACGTTTTAAAATTCAAACAAATTTAAAGGACAAGTCTTCCCTCAAAGTAGACACTGTATGTTGGTAAGTATTATATACATATTAATCGCGTCATGGAAATGACGTTAAATATTGTATAGCTATATTCGTGGCATGCAAGTCACTTACCTTTTATAACCACCAATACCTGTATTTTATTATAAAGTTCTAATGAAAGAAACCGAATGAAAGATTTTGTCTTATATATGTATGTAATTGAAATCAATGTCGAAGAATCAGAGATTTATTATATAAGTATACGGACTACGGCATACAAGTTAAGGTAAATAGTTATACGTTCGAAAGCGTGATAAATTGTAAAAACATATAGGACATAGTCCACTGATACTTTCTTATTTTATAAGCAAGTTGGTAAGTGAAATGGAATTAAAAAATGACAGAAACTTTACTCTTTTTGTTCGATAATCTCGTCTATATTATTTTATATTAAATATTATAATAGTCTGTCTAATTATTCATTAATATTTGTCGATAATTATATATACGTGTATATTACAAAATATTATCATACTTTTTGTTAGACCTTGAAATCAAATAAAATTTAAACTGAAATTTAATGTGATATTGTAATTTCAGGGAAAATGAAATTGTGGTTGGTGATCATTCACATTGTTTTGGTAGCTACAAATATATGGGTCACAGCGCATTTTCACGAAGAACTTCCAGAAGATAATGAATTTGCAGAGTTTGAAGATTTTGAAGAAGATAAACCAAATTCAGCAGCTCCTTCTGATCATATAACGGAACATCATAAGGAAGCAGATTTAAATGAAGATTTTGAAGAAGATGACGTTCTTATTGTTGATGGAGATAGTGAATTTGATCATTTTCAAGATGAGGAAGAATTTGAAGGATTAGATGTAACTGGTGGAAATGCGGGTTCTAAAAGCGATGAACCATCCACACTTACTATTACTAAAGTACCATTGCATTTGCGTGCGAGATGGGATAGTTTCTGTTTGGAAATATTGATGGTAGCTGGACTTTTAGTATATTGCATAAACTATATCGCAGGACGTGCTAAAAATGGACGTATAGCGGAATGTTGGTTACAAGAACACAGGCAACTTTTGTTAGAAAATTTTACTCTTGTAGGTGATACAGGAAAATTAACGGAAAATGAATCTGAAAATGGTTTGGTCAAAGAAAGCGAGTCGCAATACAGCTTATATTGTTCAGGTCGAGTTGGCTGTGATTCGATGTTAATAGAATTGAAATTAGTTAAGAGACAAGACTTAATTGCAGTATTAGCACAATTAGTACGACCACAAAATGACCAAGCGCATATAAGAGTTGATCTTGCCAAAGATGAAGTTGATAGTTTTGTATTAGCAATTGCTACAAAACGAACTGCAATACATTTGACAAGAGACATGGCTGATATTAGCGTTTACTGTCCTGAAAAACGACCTGGAGAGAAATATGGACTTCCAGCAGGCTTTTATGTTATGCCAGAAATAGCTGAAACAGCTTCGGTTATTTTAGATACCAAAGTTCTTCAAGCTTTTGCCAAATTTGCACAATATATAGATTATATCCACATCAGTGATCAATATAGTGGACCTAAACAACAAACGTAAGTGTGTACATTAAAATCATTTTTCAAATATAGATAAATACAAAAATAATAAATATTTTATTACACTTAACAATGAAATTATTTTTAGAGAAACTACTCAATTAACAATGCCTGAGGTAAAAAAAGTATTACTAGTCGGACTAAACATAAGTATAAAAGGGCGTACAGCTAGCCCAGAATGTCAAGAAAAACTAAAACTTCTTCTTCAACTTACATTTTACATATTGGATAAATTACGACGTTTCAAATTATCCAAAGAGGTATCCAATTTTTCTCTTTATTTTGTTTATAAAAATACAAACTTTAATCGATGTTACTAACAGTTTATCGATTGTTATATAGGGTAAAAATAAAGCGGATAAAAATCGGCTAAGAGTGGAGGAAGCATTTTTGAAAACAACGCACGCGGCACGAGTCGAAGCCGCAGCACAGAAACGAGAAGAACGTAGAAGAGCTGAAAAAGAAAAAATGCTTCAGAAAGAAGATCCTGATAAGCAAAGAAAGTGGGAAGAAAAAGAACAACGTAGATTGGCAAAAAAACGTGCACCAAGAATGAAACAACTCAAAGTTAAAGCTTTGTGACCCGATGCGGATGTCACTGTTGCATGTGACGAAAGCTCTAGGCAGCCGTAAGTAAATTGTTTAAGTTATTTGCTTAATTAGCGTTGTTTTTAAAAACTTTGTAACAGCATCCTCCTCTTCATATTAGACATAAACTAGGAAACTAAAATATGCGTTATCAAAGAAATGCATATATACTTAACACGATTCAGAGTTATTATTTCATTTTATCAACAATTCATCATAAGAAAATACAAAGTTATTTTTTAATATATAATAATATATTTACTTGTCATTAGCTACTTTATTTATATATCTGTCAAACATCTTTTTATTTTATTTGTGTTAAAAAGTTATTTTGAGCTACTTGTTTTTTGAAGCAATCTAAAGTATGATATAGTATATCAGTGATATGTTTTGTCTCGATAACATCTTAGAAATATTCTGAATGTAATTAATATGTGAAGTACGATATTAATAACAATACAGGCGATATAAATATACCTAAATGATTCCTTAATCATACAAAGTCAGAAACGAACAGATTAATGTTTATACTCGTCAATTAATAAGAGTATTCATCAACTTATACAATTATTTGTAAATTATATTTTGTTCCTCATATGTAATATATTAATTGTATTTCTATTTATTTTGTAGATATCAGAAATTAAAACTGAAAAACTTTGATACGATAAATATAGTTCTATTAAGCAAATTAAATGCAATGATTTCATGCTGAAATCAGAATTAGAAAAAAATTATATATAAAATTTAACAAACAAATCTATATTGAAGTTTTTGAATTGAAGTTTGAATACGCATATTATTCCATTTGAATATGCTTTACCTAATACAGCCAACTATAAGGCTGAATTTTAATTATAACTAAGAGACTGTTTTTATTAAATCATTTATAAAAAAGAGTTAATTTCATTCATTCAAGAGATTAAAAGCATATATTATTAATAGAATAAAAGGTGCATGAAAGGGGTGTATGGATTTTGTCTGAAAAATAAGTACTCCTAAATATAAAGAAAAAAATATGTAAGTAACTTTTTTCTACCGCCGTGTTGTATTATCGTGTCCTAATATACAATTTAAAAACAAAAACAAAACTAACTCTACATTACTTAATACAATTTCCTTGAAATATCATGCTCCTTTCTTGCTTATTATTTATATATTTGTTATACGTTAACAGATATTAGCATTGAATGCATTTTATAAGTATTGTAAATACCATATATTGTAATTATATAAATAATACGTATGTACTTGAAAATACACTTATTTCCAATGGATTTTTAATATTATACAAAATTTACAAGACCCTCCAATTGTTGAAATCATTTTTGTACGAGTAATTACAAACTATATGAATCTTTTAAAAGTTTAAGATTAGTTTGAACAACTGTCTTTGGGAATAAAAAATTTTGTTCAGATATGAAATCAGTTATAACAATGTTTATTCCTTTAGGCCCAGATTTTTGTAGACTTATCCAATAGAGAGTCGCCTTTTGGCATGTTGGCGTCAAATTTGAATGTAAATTTCCACAAAGGTGTTTCATAACGTAGGATATATTAGGAGTTAAGAGACATTGCGATATTAAACCGATCTTGGTAGAACGTTTTTTAAGTTTATCATTTAAAAAATTAACTAGTTGATCTACACGCACTGTATCTGGCCAAGGTGTCGGCCAGAAAACACTTGGCCATAAATACGGATGATTCACCGCGCAAACATTTCTATAAATGACAATAACTTGATACTTTCTCGAAGTAAGCCAATTTAAAGACACGTGATCGAAATATGCTAAAGTTGGACATAATTTGCCACGAAAAATATCATTTATTATCGCAATCAGACGACTATGATCCATTTCCGTAAAACGATAAAAATGTTGAAAATCAATAATGATAATTTCATTCGTATGATCATTCAACCAATTTACAACCTCCTCTAATGGCTTAATCACTTCTGATCCGTACAAACCATGAAGAAAATAAATATTGTTGTCCCTTGTTTTCGTAGCTACGCGTAAATCCAAATATCTTATACCGCCATTTAATTGTTCTTTTACACTATCTTTTTGTGTAACAGACCAATTAAAAATAATAGGCTTTGACAAAATCGAACAATAACGACCCAATGCTCTTATATATGCAGGCTCATCCGGACCTACATCGTTACGTCGATCTATAGAATAAGTCATCGTATTGTGAGAACCTGAAATGAACAATGAATTACCTTGAAAATATTCTTTCTTTCCAACACAGTTCTCCTCACTTGGAAATAATTCTAGGATTTTTTTTTTAAATATATAGAAGTATCATGCATTATAGCATTATTATTATTATAGATTATTTTTAATTATTGGAAATTAAAAATAATTTTGTTCTGATGCACTATCATTAACTCTCAAATAAAAAGAAATAATTGATGTACCAAAATTTTCCTTTGCTACTAAAATACGTAATATTATATATATTATACAATAAAACAAAATAATAATGAATGAAAATTAATTTCTAAAAAATTTATTATATAATATTATAATTTTTATCGATGTTATGTAAACGTCAAAGATATTTAAACTTACCGGGTATGGCGAGATATATTATAGGTATATTTTTTAATGGTTCCGGAAGTTGTGTCATCCAGAATTCTAAATTATCTTTTGAAATATTTTTATTCAAATATGTTTCTGTACAGTATTGTTGTTCACTTCCATATTTGCGTTCCATTATTATTTAAAAATACTTGTGTTGTGTAAAGTATTCAAAGAATAACGTCAAATTCGTTTTTAACCGAGTTAAACCTTATAATAATAAAGAAATATGAGTATGGATCAAAATATATTTCAAGTAAGAATAATTCACCTGACTTCATAAAGTAACTCATGAATAATAAGTTGGACGTATTATATCATAAATCTGATTCATTTTCTCACGGTAATTCTTTAAATTGTATCGTCATATTGAAACCTTCGAACGAATAATTTATGATTGACCTAAATAGAATCAAAGTGACCAATCATTATAAACCTTAAAAAAATTAAAAAGAAAATGTATTAATATTAATTCAACATTTTTAGTACAAATATTAATATAATAAAATATAAAGAAAGACGTCAACGATCCTAATAATTATATCAGGAATTATTTTCCAATCCCATCATTCCAACTCCACATCTGGCGCGATTTTTAAATAAGAGTCATCTTTCAAAAAAGAAAGTAATTTATATTTTCTTCCTTTGAACCGTTAATTGTCTATAATATGTGCGTTAAAAAGTAATTATTGAAAAATATGTATCTGACTATAACACAAAAATAATACTGCAATTAGTTAAATATATTTTAACAATTATATTATAAATCATTACCCATATATTTTATTAAATATTTATATACATTTTATTTTTTTATCCAAATTATATATGAGCACTCTTAGTAGAGGAAATCAAAGCTGTTACCATGTGAAATGCTTCATTTATTTTATTTATTTGATCTAAAAAATAAATGAATATATTATCTACGTACATCATAAATTCTTTTTAATTGTAATAATTCATAAATCCAAATGTATATTATTTTTTACCTGTAGAGTACAAATTAGGAGGAAATATGGGTAAATCACTAAAATAAGTTATTGTCTTGGTTTTCAATAATTCCGATTCAGAAAAAAGATCAACTTTCCATGTTGCGGGAATGCTGATAAAAATAAAAATTATAATATGTAAATAAGAAAAATATTTCAAGATTATACGTACCCTTTATTAATTTCGTTAATAAGAATATCTTGTGCGGGAATGGTCAAAGTATATACTTTATTTTTACATAAATCTTCTAAAGTATTCATCGAAAATTCTGTAGTTGCCATTTCTTTTATAATGTATTCCAATGATGATTGTAGAACATCTGTTTCACAACTTATATGTTCCTGCAAAAGCAGCATAAATTCCAAACAAATATGAACTTGAATCATATTAATCAATTTCTTCCTATGAAAGCACGTAATAAAAAAATAATTAATAGATTAATTATACGATTATAAAAATAACTATGTATAAACATTTATAAGAATATTACCTATAAAAATTCGAGTCGAATTGCTCCGGTTTCTTTTTAAAATTCTTGTATATGCTATTGAATGTAACAATGCCCGTATTCATTAAAATATATTTATAATCCTTGCTTACTTTTTCAAATCCTATATCTATTAAAGTTTCTAGTGGTAAACTTTCGTTTAATAAATGCGTGACCGTCTTTTGATGAGATAATTCGGGCAAAATTTTAGCAAGTGTTGTACTATTTGTTATATTTACCTAAAATATAAACCCTTAATGTAAGATATGTGTTATAGTTTATTTGCAATATATAATTATTTATATATATATAGTTGAAATATATTTAATACCTGTGGTTGGCATTCACCGAGTAGAATTTCTTTTAATATTTTATGCATACATTCTGTCATCTGTATATAAGTAGAAGTACCTACAAAATATTATGTTTAGTATTAACTAATTAATATCTTGAAAATTATTTATATACTTACATATAAGTAGTTCCCACATAAAATCAGTAAAATCTAGATTTGGTCTAAAAATTGCAGCTTCAATGCACTGTTTTAATTTCATATTATTTTCATCTGTTTCAATGCATATTTGTTCTATTATATTATAATTAGATTTTCTATAGCTATAATTATTGATAAGTAGAAGATTCACATCATCCATTATTTGATCTTGATCCTACATTATGATAAGTAACCATACACAAAAATAAATTTTATTCAATTAGTTGTTTATCTCGTCCAAAAATAAAATTATTAATAAATGTGTCTTAGAGAAATTGGACCGTGCTACAAATTAGCTAAATTTTTACATCAGACATTAACCACAGCAATTTCAAACAAATTTGTTTTTTCTGTCAAGAATTCTTTTGAGTTTGTACAGTTCATACAAAAAACAACAATACCAGAAGAATACATACTAGTATCGTTAGATGTCAACCTGTCCAATTTCCCTAAGAAACATTTATTAATAAATTTTATTATTCAAAATTTATATAAATAGTAAGTATAATATATAAGCACATATGTTACTTTATATAAATATTTATAAAAATACCTTTGCGTATGGAGTTACAAAATTATCTGGGTATTGTAACGAATTCGGATTATTGTATGATTTTGCATTCATTTCCTTGAAAATATCTAATATCGTTAGATACTGATTTAATAATAACAATTGATGCCACAAATTCGCCAAAGCACTATCGTTTCTTCCAGTAATAATTTCAAGAATCTGCAAGGAAATATATATTTAAATATTACTTTTCTAATATATATATTTATTGTAATAAACTTACTAAACTATTTTTGGATGATCTTGTAGGCGGATCAAATAACATATTATCTGCTATTATGTTAAGCGTTATACTTCCTTCAAAATTCAATTTTTCAATTTCTGATAATTCTTGCATTTCATACCTCCATCCAAATAAATCATAGGTACTCAAAGTAAACACTGATACCTGAAAAATACAAAAAAACCATGACTTAATATCAATATTTATATTTTAGAAAGAAAAAAAAATTACATAAAACACGCACATCATTTTGTTCTGAAAATGATAATTCAAGATGTTTCGATAAAAGCTTGGAAGAAACATTTTTTACAAAATCGAGTTCTTTCATACTATTACTTGTAACTTCTATTGTATTGAGCCAATTTTTCTCAATGATAGTACCTAATATAAGAGTTTTGTTATGATCTTTCCCATCACAAAGTATGAATATCGGTATGACATCATCAATGTGCAATTTTTCATGACAAAGATTCAGCAATGTGCTGTAAAAATAAAATAATATTTTTATAAATAATTATAAGACACATTAATAATATCGAGATGCTTAATTATATAACACATTTAGTAAAATACGAATATTAAAAAATACTTTTTACTTTGCTAATCAATGTTATAGCTTTTTAATAAAACATTTAAAAAAGCCCGCGTTTAAATAATATTTCTTTCTTATTTTTACTTTTATAGAGTACACTGATAAAAAATTTTACGGAAAAATTAAATTAGAACACCTTATATAAATATATTAATATATAAATATATTACCATGCTTCAATCCTTGTGAGAGGATTATATCCTTCTTCATCTTGCCCCCAATATTTTTCTGTTATTAAAGTACTGTTTATACATTCATCATTAAATGAATATACTAAAGGATCACCAGTAACTTCTAAATCTGAAATATAATTAAGATTATGAAATGCTATATAATTACACATATAATTTATGTCATACCATAAAAAGATGAATCCACTTCACTGTGTTTCGTGAACTGAACAAAGCATTAAAAAATAAATAAAATTATTTATACATATATGATTAATATATACCATTATAAAATTATTTTAAATATTTTTAATATTATAAATCTTTTTGAAACTCACTTTTTTAAAAATAACGACATAATTCTTATACTCAGGAAAAATTCGTTCAATAAACGACAAACGTATTTTCTTAGCTGTTACCAATGAATTTTCACATAAAATATTTTTTACGGTTTCTACAATATCCATTCTTATATATAAATTAACTTGTTAACTAATTAAAATATTTCTCTCTTTTTTTCTCTCCCTCACACAATTTTCTTTTCTTTTTTATTATTTTATTTAAAACGAACTTCGAAACTGATCACAAGGATTTGAATTTAAGGCATTACATTCAATACCAAACATTTCTGTTAATAAGGCGAGTACTCATAAAGAATCACATTTAATTTTATAAATAATATTTGTCATTGGTTGAAAAAAAGCGCGAAATTGATTTAAAATCTTAACCTTGTGTTTAAATGCTTCTTCTGTTTTTTTTATGAAAATCTGTCTTAATAAATTCAGCAAGCACGTGGTACTGTATATGTATTCAAGTATTTGTGTATATTTTGTAATTACCAATATTAATTTAATTTTGATTATTATATTAAATTAATATGATTACTCTGTCGTAATATAATTATATAAATTTTATATAATGTATTTATAGAGAAATGATAAGTATTAACAAGAATTAACCTATAATATAAAAATCATATATAAATAATATCTTATAGAAAAAGAAATGTCAGTTAAAATGACTAAAAGAAAACTTGACGACGAAACAGATAATAAACCTACCAGGGTTTTATCAAAGTTTAAATCTGATACTGGAGAAACTCTTCCAGGTGGTTTATTGGATTTACCAGTTAATGTAACGGTTGATAAACTTCAAGCAATTTGCAATGCTTTACTTCAGCACAAAGACCCAGTCCCACTGGCATTCTATGTTAATAACAAAGAAATTACAGATACGTTGGAAAAAAATATAGAAAAGAACTTTAATATAAGTGAAAATGTTCTTGAAATTGTGTATCAACCACAAGCAATTTTTAAAGTTAAAGCAGTAACGCGGTGTACTGGATCCTTAGAAGGTAATATAGAGATTCAATTGTATATAATGAAGTTATTATAACTTTATTTTTATATTGTTCAGGGCATAAGGAAGCTGTTATATCTGTTGCTTTTTCACCCAATGGAAAATACTTGGCTAGTGGTTCTGGAGATACAACTGTAAGATTCTGGGATATTTATACGCAAACTCCATATTATACATGTGAAGGACATAAACATTGGGTTTTATGTATTTCTTGGTCACCATGCGGTAATAAATTGGTTTCAGCTTGTAAAAATGGTATGATTTTACATTGGGATCCAAAAACAGGAAAACAAGTTGGTAAATACTTGGAAAAAAGTCTTAATTTAATTTAATTTACAAATAAATTTAGATATTTATATTAATAATTTTAAATTAAATTAATCTATAATTTGTAGGTAAGGCAATGATTGGACATAAAATGTGGGTGACTTCTATAAGTTGGGAGCCTTATCATAGAAATCCAGATTGTAGATATTTAATAAGTGCATCTAAAGACTGCGACTTAAGAATATGGGATGTGACATTTAGTCAAACAGTACGTGTTCTTTCCGGTCATACAAAAAGTGTTACCTGTGTTAAATGGGGAGGTAACGGTCTCATATATTCTGCATCTCAAGATAGAACTATCAGAGTATGGAGAGCTGAAGATGTAAGAGTTTTTAATAAAATAGATTTATCTGTTATAAAAATTGATATACATTGATATTTAAATAAAATATAATTTAGGGAATACTGTGCAGAACACTTGAAGGTCATGGTCATTGGGTAAATACATTAGCATTGAATGTAGATTATGTATTAAGAACTGGTCCTTTTCAAATGAGTAATACAAAAGACAAAATAGAGGATCCCTTAGAATATGCAAAGAATCAATATAACTCAATAGGCGAAGAAAAGCTCGTTTCTGGTTCAGACGACTTTACATTATTTTTATGGAAGCCAGAAAAAGAAAAAAAGCCTATTGGTACTACGAAATAATAGTTATTGCTTTTTTTTCTTTTTAAGTTAAGAAAGCATCAGTTAACATTGAATTATTTCAGCAAGGATGACAGGCCATCAGCAATTAATAAATGATGTCAAATTCTCACCGGATGGTCGTATAATAGCATCAGCATCCTTTGATAAATCAATCAAATTATGGGATTCTAATACTGGCAATTACATAGCATCATTAAGAGGTCATGTACAAGCTGTTTATTCTATTACATGGAGTGCAGATTCACGTTTATTGCTCAGCGGTAGTGCTGATTCAACTTTGAAAGGTATACCATGCAATAATAATTATTTTATTTTATATATTTTAAATGTATTACTGTATTTTTTTGGATGATGTTTATAGTATGGAACATGAAAACGAATAAATTACACGAGGATTTGCCTGGACATGCTGATGAAGTTTATGCTGTGGATTGGTCTCCTGATGGTCTTCGTGTTGCATCAGGTGGAAAAGATAAAGTTTTAAAATTATGGCAAAACTAATATTAGAGAAATAAAATAAAAAATTAAAAAATATTTATTTACCGTGTTTTATATTTTCATTCAATAAGAAATCAAATCCTTTTCAATATTATATTTAATCATACATAAAATAGTAAATGTTGTGTCTACCAGGTAGTTCGTCAATGATACATAGCGTATCTACGAATTGGTTCTTCAATGATTTGCGATATATCTACGAAGTAGTTTATCAGTGTACATATTTTAATTAGTATTGTTATTTACATTCAGAATTGTCAATAACTGGTTCGGAGTATTAAATATTTTAGAAGTAATTTTAATTTAGTACACAAATTGCAACCATCTTTATCCAATGGTCGAATTTGATTGGTTGATTTTATTTTGAATTAACCAATTATGTGCATCTTTTAGAAACAGTGATTATTATTACTTGCAATATTATTATATGCAGAGCTGCAACTTCCTATTGTATACATTTGCATGCATATTCGCCAAAATATGCTCAATTTGACATGAAATATAAGACAAAATATAAGACAGAAAAGTTAACCTCATTGAATCTATGTTTATATTATATTTATATCAATAAATTATTACTAATAGTAACAAACATGGTGAGTAGAATACAATTATTATTTATATTGTATTTTAAATAACGAATTAATTACTGATTTAACGAAATCGACATAATTAATAAAATAATAAATGCATAATAATTATCATATATTTATTGACTTTAGTTTAATTTAAGTTAAATTACTATTCAAATTTATTTAGGATGATGATGCAGCTGCTCTTCAGAGTTTGGAACACCTAATGACAGAATTTTTTTCACCAGAGACAACTAACGAACGTAAGAGAACGATTGAACATAGTTTTCAAGAATTTGCAGGACGACTTGACTCCTGGAGACCATGTCTGCATTTTTTGTCATCTACAAATAATCATTATGTTAGCATGTTTGCTTTATCAACGTTAGAGGTAAATGTTATTCATTTATAATATATGTTATATACAAGTTATTAATTACTTTAATTAACTTAATTATTTTAGACAACTATTGGTAGAAGATGGCCAATTCTTCCTTGGGAGGATAGAGCACTTACACGATCAACTTTATACACGTTGTCATTGGAAAAAACTGTTGTACCATTTGTTAGAAATAAAGTAGTAAAGTTAGTAGTTGACATTGCAAGACACGATTGGCCACATTTTTATCCCGATTTTTACTCCAACATTTTACAGGTTTGATAAATTTATATATTTATACAAAATGTTGATAGTTTTTAACTATAATTTAATTATACTTTAATATCTCTTATCTTAACAGTTACTAGATCATAAGCATTCAAGGTTGCTAGGTTTGGTATACTTAAGAACTGCTTCTGAAGAATTAGCTACACCACGAGAGGATTTACCAGTACAAAGAAAAAATGAACTGTTAAGATTACTTAGTGCTCAAGTGCCTCTGACACTGGATACACTAACTGGTATACCAATCAATTACTTTATATTTGACAAATATTCGTAATCCTGTGTATTACATATATATTGTCTTTTTATCTTTGTATTTATTTTTATTTGGAATACAGCACTTTTAAAAAAAACAACAAAATTAAGGAATAGATCAGGAACTGCAACACCACCACCTTCTCCTACTAGTGGTCAAACAGTACCACCTGTACGTGCAGTATTGGACGTAGAGGGTTTAGCAACAGGCACCAGTGAAGTTTCCATTGCTATACTTCAAGTCTTAGCACATTTATTTAGCTGGATTGCTTTGGCAGATCATATTTCTAATAGTTTATTGGAAGCTATATTTTCCTGTGCTAAATATCATGATACTATGGTATTGTTTCAGATTTCAAAAATAACAATCTATTAAAAAAAGTTGTATGTTTCATTTATTTTATTCTCTGTTCTCTATAGAATGGTAAACAAATAGAAATGGCTGTACAAGCTGTGACTACTATAAATGAACTCCTGTACAGGCCTTTGCATATTCCAAATGTTAAAAAATCATTATTATTAGATATATTTACAAATGGAATAAATATATTTCAACACGTGGGACGTTTAGACTCTGTGGATGAAAGGTAATTATTATTTTAACATGTATTATATTAAAATAAAATCAATGTAAATATATATATAAATATATATCTTTTTAGTTATATGGGAAAAATAACAGAATTCTTTCAATTATTTGTAACAAATCATTTGAAGCAAGTTGAATCATGTCCTAGAACTCTTGTGAATATGTTATTAGAAATTCTTTGTCAGCATACGTTTCAACGATGTTCTACAGTAAATGAGTATCTTCGACGTTTGGATATTTGGATTGTTCTTTTAGAAAATTCACAATCACGATATTCGTCAGTAGCATTAGGTTTAGCTGAAAGAGTACTTCAAAAAATGTGTTTTAAATTTAATGCACAAGCGTTAAGAGAACTTGATACAGAAAGTTTAGATGAAAATGTAAGTAATTTGTATTTATAACTAAGCTTAAACATTAAATAAATTTATGCAATTTATATCCGTTTTTCTAGGAAGAAACAGAGTGGCAACATTTTTTAAGGTGCAATATAGAATGCTTAGCTAAACTTGCAGATGTATCACCTATTCCAGTGTTTACATTACTGGTATACTATTAATTGTAATTAATAAATTTTATACAATTATTATTAGTTTAAGAAAAAAAGTAATTTATTGATTATTTTTTAGTATCGTTTTTGGAAAGGAAATTTAATAATATTCGGAGAATTAGGTAACGCAATAAGTAATAATCAAATTATTTTACTAAATGATACAGAAGCTTCTAATGCTCACGTACATTTACGTGATTTGGCTTCTACAACTCAAGCCTTAGCTAGATTATATTCTATTTTTATTGGTAAGTCTTAGTTAATAATCATCTGAAAATAATAATATTTTAATCTCTATATAAAGGATATATATTTTGTTAAAGGGGATCAATCAACTATAGATCAATCTTTCGCAGAAGAAGTTGTTTCACAAACATTAGATGCATGTATTTTTGCTAGAGATAATCAACTTTATAAAGCGGCATTGCAACCACCAACCATAGTATTAGATATTATTGAAGTGTAAGTATAACTTTGATATCAAAGTTGATATAATAATAAAATATCTCTTTATATATTTAATTGATGATTGTATTCTATTAGTCATTCACAACTGTTAGCATCACTTCAGGCATGGTGTCACTGGATAGCAAAAAGACCTGAAAAAATAAAAGACACGTTATGTCAAAGTTGTGTTAATTCGTGTATTTGGGCATTAACATATACTGCATCTTGTGATGTACCACCTTTTAATCTCGTTCATTCTGCAACTCATCTTTTTCAAAGTATTACTGCCATCTTGAAACCTATATTGTGGGATAATGGTACTTTTAGAGATTTAATTTCTATGAGAACATATCCATCTTTAAAACCTGACACTATCAAAGTATTACGACGAGCATTAATTAATGGTATTATTTTACCAACTGGAGATGGAACTATAAGAGAAAAACTGATTGGTAAATATATATCTTTATATTATCTCATATATATCTTTAACAAAATTAATTCTATTCTATTAAATAATTACAAATTTCATTTAAATAGGCACAATGGTAGGATCTTTAACAGAACCTCTAGGAGCACGTGGCCAATCTTTACCTTCTGATTCAACGATATTAACGATTGTACCATCATTAACTCAATTATTAGAGGATTGTTCTTCTTCATCAACTACTGTCAAAAAGATGTTACACTCTAACTTAAAACCTAGTATCGATCGATCATTAGAACTTTTACCATATTTGATAAGATATCATAATATATGCGAAGTTGTACTTAATTTTTTATATTCAGTATTTTTAGTATTGCAACAACAATTAGGTCCTGAATTTACACAAAGTGCAGTACAAGAAATGCTACAAATTTATACCAGGTATATTTAAATATGTGATTTGTTTTAATTTTAGTTATATTATGAAATCAATAATCATTTCATTAAAATTTGTTGTTGATGTGTTATAAGAGAAATGATGTTTATGAGAAATAATTATTTTATTTTTACAGAGAAAATATTTCTGTTGGACCTGCATTAGATCAATTATTGGAAATATTAATATTAGTAATATTAGCACCTACTAGTGCATCCAAAGCATTTATTCCATCTGTAATCAATTTATGTTTGGGTCACGTATGGCCTGCTGTTGGAAATGATCTTAGTGCTTTTCCTGATACTACACTTGTTTTATTAAAACTTTTTTATGGGTACTTATACAAACAAAGATTTCTATTATATTATATTTTAATCATATTAGTAATAATAAATAGTTTTATTATTTAGCATTATTACACATCAATGGCAATACTTTTATAATACATCAGTATTACGGACACTTGGTCATCCAGATGAGGATGAACCTGTTGAACATAAAGAAGAATTAGTTGCAATTTTGGAAGCTTTCGGTCAAGCTTTATTGCAGCCAGATGTTAATATATTTCGCCAAAGTTTGCAAAGTCTTGAACTACTTAATGCAAGGTGGCGACTATATCAAAGGTCTATATTTAAAGTCCATCTACTTGAAAGATTCTTAATGGCCCTATTTACAGTTTTATTTCAACAGTAAGTGTGCTTAGTAATAATTAATTTGTATATAATAATAATTGTAATTAAATTTATTAAATTAAAATATTTCTTCTTTTCCATTTTTAGATCTCACAATCTATTAGCTGATGAAATTGCAGTTGCTATACATAGTTTAGCATCTGTAAATATAGGATGGTTCTTTCAACACTTTCTTCCTACATTTTTAACTAGCTGTGAAGGTGTCGATGACATGCAAAGAGCTACATTATTAGAGAACTTCGACAAATCAACTGTAAGTAAAATCAAATATAAAATAGAAACTAATAATTTAAAAGATTGATAAATACATAAAGGAATGAACGAATGTTTTAGGACCAACCAACTTTAACAAGATCTGTTCTTCAACTTATTTCTGACTTACGATGTTATCAACTGTGTAGGCCAGGTTAAAAAAATACATATAAGTATTAAAATAATAAAGTGATTGCATTTGATAATATTTCATAAATAGCATTTGAAAAAAATCATTATTCCTTAAGACTATTTCCAGTGCCTAGAGATAAAATATAAATTTTTTCATTTCACAAAAAGATAAATTAAAACATTTTGTAATATTTACTATCTTGTGTGTCACTGCCGCGACTTTAATGTATATCAAAACTATTGTTATTAATAAAACTCGTCTTTTTATATGTTCTATCTTATGAATCGTCTATACTTTTTAATGTAATAATAATAATAATAATAATATTAATAGAAAAATACTTAAAGAATAATTATTATATTGTGTTTTCAAATCTCAATAGTAGAAGTAATTGTATTATCTTACTGTGATATTTTTACTGTTACATATATATAAACACTGATAAAAGTATGAATACATGTACATATGAATGTTTTAATCTACTTATTTATTCTTGATAAAGAATATCATTCAGATAACCTTAAGATCTCTACTTCTTTGGTGCATTAGTTAGTAAGTTAACTATCACCAGAATACGAAATGTTACATCTGCTATCAAAAAGCATATACATTCCTAAAATAACAATGGCAAGATACTTGGTAACTGATCCTAGGTATGGATTTTTAAAAGAATTGGGACTTATTTCTGAAAATTCAGGCTTATTTGACGGAAGATGGGGAGGTTCCGGTAAAGTATGTAAAATAATATAATATGTTAATAAATTAAGATTTAAAAATTCATTTCATAAATATATTACCAAACTATATAATAATGTTTTGCAGATAATTGAATCCATTTCTCCAGCTAATGGAAAAGTTATAGCTAAAGTTCGAGAAGCTACACCTCAGGAAGCCAGTAACGCTGTTACGGAAGCACGAAAAGCATGGCCTCAATGGGTATCCTTGCCAGCACCTACAAGAGGAGAAATAGTGCGACAAATTGGTGTTGAATTAAGAAAAAATTTAGAACCTTTAGGACGATTGGTATCTTTAGAAATGGGTATGATAAAAAAGAAAATAATTAGATATGAACAATATAGATTTAAGTAAAAAATTTTGTTAACAATTAATTTGAATTATATTTAGGCAAGATATTACCAGAAGGTATCGGAGAAGTACAAGAATTTATAGATATATGTGATTATGCGGTTGGGTTATCTAGAATGTTGCCTGGTAATGTTTTCCCATCTGAGAGAAAAAATCATATGTTATTAGAAAAATGGAATCCATTGGGTGTTGTTGGTATTATATCTGCATTTAATTTTCCAATCGCAGTACGTAGACCTTTTAAGTTTAAAACTGTATGTTATATAATATACGAACACAGTAAAATATTTTAGGTATATGGATGGAACACTGCAATAGCAATGGTGTGTGGAAATACAATTATTTGGAAAGGGGCACCCAGCACTCCTCTTATCTCCATTGCGACTACTAAAATCATTGCTAATGTTTTAGAAAGAAATGGCATTCCAGGTTCTGTTGCATCTATGGTAACAGGTGGATCAGAAATTGGACAGGTTCTGGTAAACGATCCACGGTAAGATGTCTCAAGCAAGTAAATAAATAAATAAATAAATATTTTTGCATATATTAATCATATGTATTTTTAGTATCCCACTTATCTCTTTTACGGGAAGTACAACCGTCGGAAAGCAAGTAGCGCTCAAAGTGCAAGAAAGATTTGGAAGATCTCTATTAGAACTTGGTGGTAATAATGCCTTAATAATTGCACAAGATGCTGATTTGGAAATGACAATCAGAGCTGCAGTTTTTTCTTGTGTGGGAACAACTGGACAAAGATGTACTACAACGAGAAGATTAATTCTTCATAGTAAAATACAAAAGGAGTTTAAAGGTAAATTGAAAACATGCTTCAAAAGTACTTAATATGAGAATTACATCGATCGTAAATTATTATAATGATGTATTTACTTGTTTCTAGAAAGACTCATAACAGCATATAAGAGTATATTGGAACGTATTGGTGATCCTCTGGATGATGGAACATTATATGGACCACTGCATAGTGAACAAGCTGTTAATGAATATATGGTACTGCAATAAGACTTATAATTTTGTAATATAATATGTTTATAAATTATTAATTCATAGGCAGCGATACAAGAAGCAAAAGATAGTGGTGGTAAAATAGAGTTTGGTGGCAAAAAACTGGAACGACCTGGCTTTTATGTTGAACCAACAATAGTTTCTGGTTTATCACCTAAAGCAAAGATTATACAAAAGGAAACATTTGCGCCAATTGTGTATATTTTGGAAGCAAACTCATTGGAAGAAGCAATAGCACTTAATAATGATGTAGAGCAAGGTTTAAGTAGTTCTCTTTTTACTAAAAATATTGGAAATATATTTCAGGTAAATATATATATATATATCGATTAAATTTAAATTAACTTATACTTACAATCAATAAAAATGTTAATTATTACCTTGGACTTTTTCTAGTGGATTGGACCTCATGGCTCAGATTGTGGAATAGTGAATATCAATATCGGTACCAGTGGTGCTGAAATTGGTGGAGCATTTGGTGGAGAAAAAGCAACAGGAGGAGGCAGGGAAAGTGGAAGCGATGCTTGGAAACATTACATGAGACGTGCAACTATTACTATCAATTATGGAAATGAACTTCCTCTTGCTCAGGGTATTAAGTTCGAATAAATAAAAATTAAATTTCATTAATAAATTGACAAATACTCAAGAATTTAATTCAAATCGTATAAAATCTACTTGAATATCAACAGAATCTTTTTTATGAAATTTATATATACGAGGTAAATCATATCTTAATTCGGCAATTACTGTTCCTTTTGCACCAAGTTGTGTAGCTTTTGAAAGAACGTAATCTCTCGTACTGGTTTTATGTAAAGAATATACAGTATTAGAAGCTGCTTTAATAGCAACCTCTAAAAATTTGATATCAGTTCCTGAATTTTTTTTAGTTCCAAAAGGTGGATTCATGATCACTGTATCAAAGAATTTTTCAAATTTTCCTACAATGTATTATAATATAAATAAAATATCACTTTAATTAAATTTTCGTTACATATATAAAAAAAGATTGTTCTTTTTAAGCATACCTGGTAAATATTGAAGTATATCACATTGTATCGATTCAACAAATAAATCTAAATCAGTACAATTTCTGTAAAAGATGTTAAGTGCATCAGAATCTATTTCAAATCCTATTACATGACTTGCACCAAGCATTTGAGCTCCTAATGATAAAACACCACAGCCACATCCAAAATCAGCTACGATACGTCCTTCTATATCATCAAATTGAGATTGGGCAGTATATAACATATGCGAAGCGATATGTGCACTTGTAGTATATTGTTCAAGTTTTATCTTTGGTTTCTCAAATCCATCGATCTGCTGTAGATATTCCTCGAGCTTACGAAGACTTATCATATTTGCCACTTATTGACTTTTACTTAGCACTTGATGAAAATTTTTTAATATGTAAAAAAATAAAAAAGACCTGAATCTTGTCTGTATTTCTGTGTTTTCATTGGTATCTATTTTATATACACAGTCTCTTATTAGATATTAATTACAACTAAATTAAATGCACCCACAAGCATTCATTTAGTGTCAAATCTTGGAAGAACAGGTAAAATTAAATTGCCAAAAGAAGAGTCTTGTGTAACAAAGTAACCCGTAGATGCTGCATGCGCATTATGTAAAGCAGCTCTTTGCGATGCACTCATTGCTACACCATCAGTAGATTGCGTATTAGGCTAGAAAGAGTATAAGGAATACTCAAAATGATAAATTTATTTATTTAAATAAAATTAATAATTAATCACCACAGTAGACGCAGAGCCAGTAGAAGTAACAGCTAATGATGTATTTAAGGTTGGTGCAACACCCTGCTTTAATAGCATTTGTTTCTTTAACTGTAATTCTTCTAAGATTTTTCGATTTTGCAATTCTATAAAAATAATATTATGTTTATATATTACATAAACAAATAATATCTATTTGAATCATATACCTCTTGAATTTGGTTGTGAAAAAGCCATCAATCCTCGTTTTTCTATCAAAAAATGCAAATTATTTTGATTGTCTTTGAATAGCTAAGTTTACATTGTTCTAACAAAAACTTATTATTAAATTATTATTTCTAATGCGATTTTGTGTGATGGCTAGTTTAATTTTTTTTGTACACACAATTCATATGAATTTTTTATGATTAAAAGAAATTTTATAAAAACACTTTTTAAAACTAGATAATCATATTTTTATATTTCTTCAAATAACCTCTCTCACTTAAAATCTAAAATATACTAGCTAGGTAGGGTAACTGTCTAAAGAAATATAGCTTACCTCAATGTTGCGACTACAGCGCTACGCGCTGCAAGTGATCATTAATATAATTAAAAAATTAATTAAAAAAATAAATATATAAAAGAAAAATAATCGTATATAGTATAGAGTACGTCACTGACTTATAACGTGTCCAAAGAAAAGCTTATATTAATAAAATAAATTCATTGACAATCCTCTTCATAGATACTTTTCGAATCATTGACAAACTGTTTCGTAGATATTTTTCAATAACTTTTATTTTACGACGAATACCGCCAGAGAGTATCACTTTTACGGTTTGTTAATATTATGCGATAATATTTTGCGTTTACGTAACTAGTAAACTACGTTAAACTTCATGAAATACTGTCAGAATGTCATGATTCAATGAAAGACGTGATTTGTTTTTAAATGAAACTGAGTTTTATTATATCCTAGCATTTGTAAAGTGTACGAGATTAGATAAGACGATATACTCGGAAGTATTTACTTAATACTTTTATATGTTAAGAAAAAACAAATAAAAAAGAAACAACGAAAGAGGTTCTATATATAAAATGATGATATTTAATATATATATAAAAAAAATTAAAATATAATAAAAAGTAATAAATTTTTTTATTGCTTAGACATAATGGTTGTTAGCCCAGAGTTGCCACCTGTTCCAGCACCTTTAAAAAACATTCAACAATATTTAAAAGTAGCTACGACACATGATCAACGTGATTGCGTTGTCAGTTATTGGTGTGCGTATTGATTATTTTATTATGATTAATTGTTAAATATATATTAAAGCCTATATTATTAATTTTGTTTTAGGTCGCCTTTATGCTCTTCAAACTGGTTTGAAATTGTCAACCAAAACTAGTGAAGAAACAAGTTTTTTATTGAAATTAATGAATTGGTTGGAAACAACTAAAAAAGAATTACATGATAATGAAGCTATTACTAATGATGTTTGTGCGCAGGCACATTTAGAAAATTGGGCATTGAAGTTGTTTTTATATGCGGATCAAAATGATAGGGCTTCAAACTTTGGAAAAAGTATCATACAATCATTTTATACTGCAGGATTACTTTATGATGTTCTAATGGTGTTTGGAGAGCTTACAGATGAGGCGGCACAAAATAGAAAATATGCCAAATGGAAGGCTACTTATTTACACAATTGTATAAAGAATGGTGAAACTCCTGTACCAGGGCCATTACAAGATGAAGACGGTGAAGATAATTTAAATGAATTTTCAAATAAAGGTATACTAATGTATTTTAATATAAATACTGTACGTTAATTATATCATAATTTCTATTTCTATTACAGTATCTTCAATGATGAATATAATCAATTTTCCTAAAATTTCAGATAATTCTAATTCAAGTAATAATCTACCTGATAATGAAGACAATGCTTCAAATTTGGATGCTTCTGGTCCAACTAATGACAGCATATTTAATCCTACACCAGCTATATCAGAAAATGAAGGAAATGAAAAGAGTACAAGTAATATTCCAGATTTCAAATCAACTATAAAAGTAGCTGGTAAGACGACTTAATTGTATACTACAGTTATTAACGAATATTTAATGACAATATATCACTCTACGAATAATATATCCTATAGGTGGAATTGATTTATCTACGGAACAAATAACTAAAGCTCAAAAATATATTAAATGGGCTGGAAGTGCTTTAAATTATGATGATGTTCCTACTTCAGTTTTAAATCTTCTAAAGGCAGTACATCTGTTAACTACTGGACAAGATCCAGCATAAAATGTTCATTGCAAGTGCCTGATTATTCATTAGGTTCTATAATGTATAAATTTAAAATTTATTATTTTAGTATACGAATCTTCTCTACTTGCTTATTAATTTGACAACATATAAATTGCAATGTAGTGTTAAATAATAATTGTAGAAAGACTAAACAAACTGTCAACATAAATTGATTAAGAATATCTTTCTGAATAAATGTAATTAACGATTTCAATTGTTTAAATAAATAAATTGCATCACATTGCAGCTTTAAACGCATAATAGCATTATTTTGCAGTAAAATGATCAGGTATAAATATTGACTGGTATTATGTATAGAAAAATTTAATGTATTTATCGCGCATAGTTCTTTTTACTTTATATTAAAAGTTATTATTATTTAAAAGCATCTTACATTTGCATATGCTATAATTCTCCTGTATTCATGTTTTGGAAATATAAAATGCATAACCACAAACAGACAATTTTCTAAATATATTATATATTATATACACATTTTTTTCTATGAAGATTAGTATTAGCAGTGTTCTTTACATAATTGTAAATTTTTATTGCATATTGTGTAATGAACGATAGCAGATTATATTATATTATAATTACTTCTTTATCTATATTGCAGTTTCAGTCCTTTTATTTCCAAATTACTATATCATAAAATCTAAGCATATCGCGAGTGTCTATAAATAAATTTTAATATAAATTTTCTTATACGTTATATATAACCCAATGTAGTACATAGCATATGTTGTTAATTTGTTTCTTATTGTAAGTTCAACAAATACTTATAATTGTTTTCACGTAAAATTTAGTTCAAATTGTGTGCTGCAAATTTCATTACATCAACTAAATATAGATCATACAATATTCTTAATTTCATGTAATTATCATTTATCTACATTTCATATACATTTATATTTAAACATTTCTGTCTTGTTTTTCCTTAGCATTTTTATTCCTTTTTGCTTTCAAGTAAGATGTTTATACAGTACATGTACAATAAATTAAGACCTCAAAATTGGCCCCCATAATGATTAGCATGCTCCTTTTCATAAATATTTACATTGTACTTATCTAAGTTATATATTAGGAACAAATAAATCTACAAAGCATGTGATATAGGATATAAAAAATGAAATTAATTACTTTTGGTATCATTGGTATGAATTTTGTTGTTAAAACACTCTGTATATTTAAATTTTTATGTGATATATCATACAAATAGTAGTTTTATAAACACACAGGTAATTACAATTTATTTTTTTTTCTTTTTTGTAATAATGATCAGATTCCTTCCAAAATGTGTTTACAAAAAAATGTACTGTGATTAATTTTTTCTTAATTATAACTTTTTGATGGAACGTAATGTTGCTTATGACTCTACATATTTGTCGAATAAATTCGATACATATATATATTTTTTATTTTTATATATGTATATACTACTTAAAGTAGGCATATATATTTTAAATCGTGCACTTGATATATTTATGTAGAGTATAGCAGATTTATACGTTATTATGTACACACATTCAATTACGATATTAAAGGAGAACACATTTCTTTTCTGTGGCAGTTAATTGTGCTTAACTAATATTCATATTTTCATTGCTGGACGATGTAAATAAATAAATTATAGGTATATATCTAATTAATTTCTAATATAGAAGCATTCTAATGTCATGTAATAGATGGAACAAAATTTTACTTAACTTGTGTCTTAATTAACATATTTTGCAGACTTTGGTGAAATAGAGTTATTTAAACAAGCTCCTTGCGTTTTACGCTTATATTAACGTAAATATTTTTACGTTTAGGAGCATAAATTCGGATCCGCTAACACAAATCGTATATTGTGTTTTTAATGTACGTATGGTAATATTAATTAAAAAAAAAAAAAAAAGTTATGCTCTTATATCCGAAAAATTTCATTTACATACGAAGATGTATACGAGATATTACTCACTTTAAGTTGTCGGACGTATTCGAGTCTATACTAAAAAAAAAAAGAACGTAATATATTTTCGTAAATATTCTCTGTCGAAAATATTCTATCCTGTCCATCAAAACGGAAGGAATACTAGAAATAAACGTTCGACATCCCATCTATTTAGTTTTCTTTTTGTTCGCACACACACGTTCAGTGTAATAATTATTTTTAGTATTTTAAATTTTCTTTTCTCTCATCGACAAAATATTATTCTATCTTGATTTTAAATTTGCTTCCTTTGCAAAGTGTGTGAAAGAGATAGATTGAGTTCGCCAGATTCAATATTCAAATAAATAAATTCAGTCTTGTTTTCTAGTTTTATCATCTACTCCATTAGCTGCAACCGGTTGTGCATCTTCTCGTCGTAATTGCCAATCTATCACCAATCGACCCATCAGCATAAAAAAGAATACCTAAAAACAGAAAAAAAAATACAAATTAAAATAGAAACATTTATCTAATGGAAACACATAACTCATTTAATTACAACATTCACAATTATACATACCAAAGCTGGCGCAATTCTTTCAAATCTATCGTTTACCATATAGTGAGAATACACAGCCATTAGCATCAAAAACAGTAATATCGCATTCGATACATTTTTTATCTTGTCTAAAAAAGAATAGTATATTATAAATAATCATTAAACAAATTCTTATCAAAATATTACTTATTACATTAACTTTATTAAATTAATTTTTTATACATATATATGCATAAATAAAAATATTATTATTATTATATTTATATATACAATTTGGAATTATTGCCATGGCAAGACCGCAGATGATTTCGAGCGAGCCAACCACTCTTCTGTACCATTTGCTCGGAACTTTGAAATCCAACGTGGTAGATAATGGAAATACTTTAGCATATTTGACGTATTCTTTTCTCTGAAAAGAAACAACAGATGAATACATCTATAGAATATATATATATATATATATATATATACTTATCATGCATATACAGGGTGGAGCATTCAAATCGGAAAAATTTTGTTTTCATGAAACCATAAATAACAGATATTTAAATGTTCTAATTTAAATGTCTTACCCTGTAAATATATATATTAAATTATTATATGTTAAAAACACGAGATAATTTTGTTATGCATGTAATATTTCTCAATTAGTTTAATCCAGACTAATTTATTAATTTAATGATTGGGTTAAGTGAATAAATGGTAAATATCGAGAATTTGGCGAATGGCTATTTGGCATTGACTCAACTGAATGTTTCGGACAGCTGCTTTTGTAAGATAGTAACATATACATTAATGATTACGACGAGGATAGTCCAGCAGCAAAAATAGAAGCGAAAACACCTTGAATGCGAAAATTACATTGAGCAGCTTGGTGCTTCATTTAAAACGCTTATGTTATTGTCTTTGGATTAATAATATACATGTATTTAAATACTCATATATTTATCGACGATATATTATGTATGTATATATTTATAAAATAATAAGAAGGAATATGAACAATTTAGGAAATTATTTATATACATCACACACAAGGAAAATAATGAATAGTTATCTACTTTCCTCTAATACTATCGTAGAATATTTAAAAAATTTAAATGTCTTTATTAAAAGGCGCGTAATTTAAAAGACTTTTAAATGCGCTTGTTACTCCATCTTCACGGCGTATTACGAAACTAAAATATTAAATTTACGCTCGTCTATTGTCTTCGAGATAACTCGTAATGCATTATAAATTATACAAATAATTCTTTCAAACAAATAAAAGCAATAGATTTATTATTCGAAAATTGTTCTTTTTTTTAAATAAATATTTAAATAATTATATGTTAATGCTTTGCAAAACAAAATAATTTGTTTCATTAAATTTATTGCCAAACAGTATTTACTCGAGTTACTTCAAAATAAATGAAACAAAAACTAACATGTTACCACATTTAAAATGTAATATTTAAATTGGCTGTGCAATAAAAAAAAAGGAAAAATGTTTATTAGAAGAGAATAACATTTAGATATCTAATCGTTTTCTGTCAGAATTTAAAATATGTTTGAAATTGCATGCCCGCTATTTCGTAATTCGTAAGAGAAGATAAAAGGATGCGCAACTCTTTCCACGTTCAAAACGAGTAGCCAAGATCACGCATCACACAAACGAACGAATTAATGTACTACTAGCGACAGACGACATAGGTGATATAAAAATAGATATCAGCAAATTTCGATCCATCGTGTCGTTTTCGAGTGTAACACACGCGCTAGGTACACATGAAATCGATCCCGCCTACATTGTCAGACAATTCAGCGATAAACTGCGCACGCTTCCACGATTCTCGAGGAAGAGAACAAGAAAGGGAATAGAATAATCATGGATGACAAAACTTTAATATTTAATATTACGCAACGTTAGCAGCAATATTATAAATGAAAGTATAAATACAAAAACAACAAATAAGTAAATCAATAAATATAACGCATGTTATCCTTTTTTCTTTAATGGAAGTTTGAATGGAACCATCTCCATCCATTAATCATAGTCGTCAGGAATTATATAATAATATTAGAGCTTTTATATTATAACGATCATCACTAAACAAACAAAATATAAAAGGAAAGTTTAAACAGGGATTTGATTGACTTACTAAGGAACTTACCAAATCTTTATGTAGATCTTTGCTAATGTGGGACGTTAATTTCATTGTACCGACAAAAACGAAAAATATACCGAGTAACACGGACAAGGATTTCAATACTATCGATCCCATTTTTATTTATATTTTATGTATTTCTTTTATTATTATTATTATTATTATTTGAGAAATTATTTACTATCTTACGGCGGGATTAAATTTCAAATACAAAATAAAAAGGCTATTCAAGTATTAGGCGGGATGTAAAAAAGGAATCGATTAATAAAAACAAAAAAAATAGGAAAGAAAGAAAGAAAGAAAGAAAGAGGTTCCCCGATCGATCGTCGGTCACACCACCACCTTCTACTTTCGCGTCTATATTCTTTCTCCCTCTTTCTCTCTCTCTCTCTCTTCCTCTTCTTTCTCCTTGTTCACTTTGTAATACAGGTTTGCACTTATTAAAAAACTTCCTTTACGAGATAATACATTTTGAAAAAATGTTGGGGCTTTTGTTTTCGTTTACGCGAAGTTATGATTATCACGAGTGTTTAACCAACATTTCTCTTAAAAATAACCACAACGACAAAGACGACGACGACGAGAACGGCGACAGCGCAACGGACGCGCTCGCATTGACAACATCTATGTCTCCTTACCCTCTCCCTCTCCTATTGCAACCTCGCGACAGCGCATTTCACCGCGACGCTGCCGACACACCGACGCTATACGTCACATGACGTCATAGTCCGCCTTGTTTCGTAGAATACGCGCATTCATGACCGTCCTAAGTTAATCCCAACCTATTACGCAGTAGTATATGCACATATTACATAAATATTAACGAACCTTCCTTTTTCTTCTTTTTTTTTTTTATTTTTTTTTTATTTTTTTTTTTCATATATTATAAAAATTATAAATAAATCTTTTATATTTTATTTTCATTGCAACAGAGGATCATTAAATATGTGTTTTACAAGTGTGTAATCATTTAGAAAAATGTAAACAGGTCCACAAAAAATGTAATAAATGAATGCATTTCAAAGCTTTAATCTTTTAAATTACAATAAACATTAAGTAGTAGTATATAATTTTGTATTTACATTTTATTAGTTATAGATCGCTCCAATTATCAGACTATGCTTTATATTCTATCTAGTCCATTCTCATACAAGGATTAGATCCTTCTGAAATAAAATGTATAAACAATTGTGTAATTAAGAATAATTGTTTTGAATATGAATAAGAAAATTATAATTGTTTATAATAAATTACCGTATCTCACGTTCATACAACCCAGTAAATTTTAAAATTAATGCTATATCCAAGTATGCTTAATCAGGCGTATGCGGTGGTTCTTTACTAAAGTAAGGTGCAGTATCTTGCACTAATAAAGTATGACAAACATCACAGACTCTTGATGGTCTTTGCTTAGGACCACTATTCACAACGTGCGAAAGACAAGACTGACAAAATATATGGCCGCAATGACGACAGTGTATCTATATGAAATATACATTTATAGTTTTATTACTTTAATTATGTTTAATTATATATAACATTTATTAAAATATCATCGTATTTTCACCTTTTTCTTTGTAACTGTGAAAGTAACATGACACGTCGGACACTCGTCAACGTCTTCTTCGTGTTGCCATCTTACCTCACTTCCAGCTTGTCTAATTCTTTCTAATTGCACCTATGTTATTTAAAGTAACATGACATGATATTGACTTTACTATTAAGACCAAAATTCATTTTAATTTTATCTAGATATTTATTTGTATACCTGTAACGATTGAGACAATCGTACAAAATCTTTTTGAACTACTTCACTGTTATCCAATTCCTGCTGCAGACTCATAACTCTCTGTTTTAATTCAGTCATAGCTGATTCAGCTTTTTCCTTTTCCCTTGATACCTCTTGCAATCGTTTTTCTAATTGATCAAGTTTTTCTTCTCTCTCTGTAAATGACCGTTGCTCTCTTGCGTATTTGTCAAGCTGAAGCCTATACATTTTACATTACTGATTAAACTATGATATCCTATTTCATAATAATGAACATTTTTCACAAGCATCTATAGAATTATTTTGAGAAAATATACTTACTTAAATTCACTTATGTCATTTTTTAACATCGAAACTTGTTGTTCTTTAGCAGCACTTTCTCGCATCATTTCTTCTCTGAGAAGATTGACTTCCGATCTTAATGTTTTTTCATTTTCTTCTGCAACCTCCTGAGCAACCCTAGCCATTATCAAGTCTTCATGAGTTTTTAATAAACTCAAATGTAGATCCTCTACGTTGTTTGGCATATTAATGCTTTCACTTTGTAATTGATGAGAATGTTTACTATGTTTTCCCATAAGATTCTCATTTTGTTTCTGCAGCCTAGAAGGATTTAACTGAATTCTCAATAAAATGTTTTTGGTGGTTGGAACACATTATAGTGTAGGCATTTATTTATTAGCCTCAAATGTATCAAAATATATTTTAAGATTGAGAAGAATAAGTTTAATATTGAAAATAATCTTACGCATGAAGATGTTTTTGAACTTCCTCCCGTTCTCGAGTTAATCTAGACAGCTCCTCTGTAATGGTTCGTTGAATATGTTCAAAACTTTTCTTTGTCTCTGATAGCGTTTTATGAGCTGTTTGCGAGATGTCTGCAAGCTCAGCTACTTTGATTTTATGCTCCTCCTTTTTTTCATTCCATTTTAGTTCCATTTCATTGCGAAATTCTACCTCTTTTGCTAAATCTTCTTTTTGTACATTTAACATTCTTTCTGAATCAATTAATTGTTTTTCTAAATCTTTGACATTTTCTTGAACTTTAACAAGTTGCGCCTCATAATTACGGCACATGTCGCAGGCCTCTTGAGAGTTTCCAGATTCCTGTTGTTTCTTTTGCAGCTGTCCTTCCTTAAACTTTTGTAATTCATCATCCGTTGTTCTTAATTTTTCTTTCAAAGCCTTTATTTCATGTTCAAGCGGTACTACCAGTGATCTTAACACTTCTGCATCCTCCTGTGCCTATAGTATATTAAAATTTCATAGTATTAATCAATTATTAGTAAATGAAAAGTATTACGAAGATGACGATAATATAATTTAAAATAAACAAGTTCCCTAATACAGTTCCTATACTGTACTAGAAAATGAGATAAAAATTTTTCGAATGCGCTTACTTACGGATTTACCTTGCGCATGCTTTCCTCAAGATTATCTGGGCCCAAGGATAAAGCATCCGCCCCTAGTTGAGATGCAACCTTACGAGCTAATGTTTTAACAGTTGACAATGATATTTGGGGCCCATCCAATTGTGGTTCACGCGGTAATTGTGATTTTAACATTACATTTTCTTCTTGTAACTTAACAATTGATGACTTTAATTTAGATATTTCTGTATCCTGTCGTTTACGCACACAGGATGACTCTTCAACAGTTTCATTAATAACTTGTTGCAACGATGCTATTTCTTCTTGTGCTTTCCGCCTTTCAATGGAAATATCATTTTGTAATTTTAAATCTGAAATAACTAATTGGCTTTTGGCTTCATCCAATTCATTTTTTAATTTTCCATTTTCATCTTGCAAACGTACATTATCCTCCAATCTTCTCTTTAATTCTTCTGTAAATATATTCGTGTCGGTATACTTAAGTATCTTTTAAAATTACAAAAACATTTTTATCTTGACCATTGATTGTTATCTAACTATTCTGCGTGTAAATTATTTCTAAACGTACCTTCCTTTTGAAGAAATAATTCTTTCATTTTAGCTCTTTGCATATTAAATTCTTCCCTCATTTTATTATTTTCTGCTTCCAAACGAGTAATCTTTTTTTCTACAGTTTCTGAATTATAGTAAATAAAATTTTAATGAAGAAAACATATATTGTATAGCCTATAACACTTAAAAAAGAAAAACAAAGAAAAAAAAAAAAGAAAGAATAACTTCGTTAAAGTTATCATACGATCGTTAATTCGATCAAAAGTTTCGTATATGAGAGAACTTTACTGTTATTGCGATTCAATGTTATCAGAAAAAATATATACATACCAATTATAAGGGTTTAAATTATTAAGTTTAAACATACCTTCTTCGTCTGTCTTTGCTACTACATGACTCTCCTGCGAATGATTCTCCATGGTGTAATAATTTATCAGAGACGCATGTAATTTTCTTTCAATATAATTCTACTACAATTTATGCGATATATAGGAGCGTATATCACAGTTACCTATCCATGAACTTTTTAATTTAAACATGGTATGTACGTTGATCAGACCGGATAAACTATAATAGAACATTGATATTTTACCTTCTTACTATGACATCAATGTAAACCAACGTATGAAAATACCCGGATTAAAAGATCCGTTATGTAGCACTACTTAATCGTACAGAATAGTTAAGAATCTTTTTTAACGACATTTGTAAACTAGACTTCGTCCCGTTAAAATACGTACTATTAGATTTGCTCTATGATAACTATCCTCTTATATCGAGCGTCGCGCATTTGACGATGACGACGATGATTTTGTCATAAAATTGCAGTAACGCGCATGTCACGACACTAACGCCCTCACCGCCTACGTAAAATGCTTGAATTTGTCACGAATCGATTTAAAACGCGCCAATTGGTAAACGATTTAAATTAGTCAATATCTGATTGGTGCATTTCGAATCGATTAATAATAAGCATCCTGTGAATCTTTTCTTACAACAAATTGTTGATATATATACATTGTTTTCTACTTTTTAGTATAATTATTACAATAAATTAAGTATATGTAATGTTTATAAATAGTTTTATGTAAATTTACAAGTTTGGATGAAATGAATAAATAAATAAATGTACGTTTAAAGGTACGTGTATATGTACGTTTATTAAAATATTATTTCGTTATTGATATGTATAACTTTGAGATACGTATAGTTAAAATATTTACGTACATTTTGCAAAATGACGTGACAGGAAATAAATCTCTTATTTACTTTTTTATTATTGTTGTTCCTCACTCAATGTAATCTTACCTTCTGCCTCATAGTAATTCATATGATTGGGAGTAGATCTAATAAGTCGTGATAAGTGAATTTCTTTTAAAACTGTTTTACCAAACAATGTATCTTTGTATTCCTACAATTAAAAAACATAAGTTTTTGTTACTTTTTTAATAATATAATTTCAATCAAATCAACATTTGTTCTTACATTTATAATTTGCGTGCCATCAAATAATTTGTACATATCTCTGACTATTGTGAAATTTTTATTGTTTCTTCTGTACGATATATTCATAAATGTAGCATGTAATTTAACATCCTTGGTTCTTTTTGGCATTAATTCTGTAAAATAATATTTTCTAATTCTTGTTTTGATTTATTATATATATTTAACAAATATAAACTACATGTAATATAAATTCACTTACTCTTTTCTGCAAAATAGTCTACAATTCGATTAGATAATTCTTGCAATGCATCATTTTCTGTAAATACTATTCCGTAAAGAATTTTAACAGCACTTGGATCATCATTCATGCAATCAACACCTTTTATTTCTATGGTAAATAAGCCATGCTTTTCAATGAAAGGTCTGAAAAAAAAAGGTTTTTTTAATTCTTTTTGCCCGTTAATTAAATTGTCTACAACAAATAAAAAAAAATATAATATTTATCATACTCAATAACATGTTGTTTGCAATCCATTAACGTTTGTACTGCTTGCTTTATTTCTCCTTCATCTAGTAAAGTAAGCATTCCTAAAGTAAGATGCAATATATATGGTTTCTGAAAAAGAATTTCTTCAATGCCTGTAGCAATTCCCCCATATTTTTGAATGACATTACTTTTAAACAAATTGAAATTTTCAATAATCCCCTCAACAGTTAATGGTATAGACAGGAAATGTGTGTATCTTATATTTTTCCTAGATGCTTCTACAATTATATCAATTCGATTTCGAGCTGATAATATGTCTTTACGATCTGATCCTATTATAACTATAAATTAGAAAATATAAATATATTATGAATTAAAATAATTATTTTTCATTTAAATAAAATAACCTTCGATAACATGTAAAATCAATAAGTAATTATAATTATTCTACCTATATTTCCATTTTGTCCTATTTTGGGAACTTCTATTCTTGTTTTAGTTTCAATTTCTATTTTTTGACGTACATTATTTTTGAAACCAACAATATATGGAAAAAATTGTCTGATACATGAAATTATTGTAATTTATTTTTTAACATATTTCATTCAGATTTATAATTCGATACTTTGTTAATAGTTAAATTTATTATAAGTATAATGCTTACTTGTGAATATAAAATGAATGCTTTAATGTTTCTTTTCCATGAGGTACTATTTTAATATCTGAATTAGAAAACTTTTCATCCATGTGATCTACCTGATCTTTCTCTATGTATGTAGCCATATTATTACTTATCCAAACTTTACTTTTATAAAATCTGTAACATGTTCTGTCTATTTATTATTAGCTCTGATTTTAATACATTTAACATAATTATATTTCTTATTAAATATACAATTAATTTTGTATTATGAAGATTCATTGTTATCGTGTAAACTATTGATAATACCTATTTACTATTTTACTTGGCAAGATATAAGATCATTTTTAAAAATAATTTCACATATATAAAATTATATTATACCTGATAATTAAACTAAAAAATCTTATTTACACTTTTTTTTCTAATTAATTCTATTAATTAGATAATTAAACTTTGAATCTTATTTGCACATTCTTTTCTCAAATTATTTTTTAAACTTATTGGAAAAAGATTAACTTATACTGCCATTTTGTCATTATCTTTTATGACAGTGGTGAGCAACTAGTGGCCTGCGGGCCACATGCAGCCCATACTTATACCTGCATAGTCCAGTGAGATGGGAAGCAACAATTCCCAGTATTTGATATCGCAGAGCCTTGTATGACGCATGTTTTTTGTTGTTAAATATGTGTTGACGATTAAGTTTAAGTAGTGGGGGAACAGATGGATTCATAGTGGCGACCGTGCGGTCTGCGATGGAGGAGAAGTTACCCATCTCTGATTGATAAAACGTAATACAATGATGATTTCATCATAAAACTATAGTAAGGCGCAAGTCACAACAGTAGCGCCGTCATCGAGAATATCATTCCTACAAAAAAGATTCGAATTTGTCAAAAGTCTTCTTAAAACTCGTTAATTATTAACAATTATAAATGATAGTAATTACCTGATTAGTGCATTTCTAATCGATCATTGTCAGTGGAGATTTCTTGTCCAATTTTAATTAACTGTTGCTATAAATACATTGTTTTCTATTTTTTGTTTAATATTATACTAATTCTAGCATATCCGATGGTTGTAAGATGATTCTATAAACTTTTTTTTGTATGACTGAATAGCTTTATATAAATGTGCAAGTTTAAAATACATGAATAAATAAATAAATTAATTTGTTTACATTTGCTAGAATATTATTTATTATAATTAAACATATTTACATGTATAATATAAAATTTACTTTTTTATAATTGTTGTCTCTCACCCCAATGTAATTTTAGCTGTTGCTTGATAAAAGTTCTTCTCAGTAGCTGTTTTACGTTGAGACAAATGAATTTCTTTTAAATCTGTTTTACCAAAGAATTTATCTTTATATTCCTGTAATATAAAAAGAATATAAATTTATGTAACGTTCGGAATTATGGAATTTTAATCAAACATTTATTCTCTTACTTTCATAATTTTCGTGGCATCAAATAATTGGTTAATATTTTTATCCGCTACTACATTGTTTTCATCCTTTCTGTACGATATATTCATAAACGTAGCATGTAGTTTAACATCCTTGGTTCTTTTTGGCATTAATTCTGTAAAATAATATTTTCTAATTCTTGTTTCGATTTATTATATATATTTAACAAATATAAACTACATGTAATATAAATTCACTTACCCTTTTCTGCAAAATAGTCTACAATTCGATTAGATAATTCTTGCAATGCATCATTTTCTGTAAATACTATTCCGTAAAGAACTTTAACAGCACTTGGATCATCATTCATGCAATCAACACCTTTTATTTCAATGGTAAATAAGCCATGCTTTTCAATGAAAGGGCTAAAAAAAAAGATTTTTTTATTTCTGTCTACCCGTTAATTAAATTGTTTACAACAAATAAAAAAAATATAATATTTATCATACTCAATAACATGTTGTTTGCAATCCATTAACGTTTGTACTGCTTGCTTTCTTTCTCCCTCATCTAGTAAAGTAAGCATTCCCAAAGTAAGATGCAATTTACTTGCTTTCTGGAAAAGAATTTCTTCAATGCCAGTAGCAATTCCCCCATATTTTTGAATGACATTACTTTTAAACGAATTAAAATTTTCAGTAATCCCTTGAACATTTAATGGTATAGACAGAAAATGCGTGGAAGTTAATTTTTTCCTAGACACTTCTACGATTAAATCAATTCGACGCCGAGCTGATAAAATGCCTCTATGATCTGATCCGATTATAACTATAAATAGAAAAATGTATAAACATATTATTTTATTAAATTAAATAATCACTTATAGTAATATTATATGTTAAATAATTATAAATTATAATAAACTCACCTATATCTCCATCTTGTTCTGGCTTAGGAACTTGTATACTCGTTTTGGTTTCAATTTCTATTCTCTTACGTACTGCATTCTTGGAACCAACAATGAATGAAAAAAATGGTCTAAAGCATAAAATTGTTATTATTGTTTATTTCTTAATATATTTTGTTGAGTTTTATATTGTTATACTTTTTTGAAAAGAAAACTTTTAACTATAAATATGATACTTACTTTGGAACATGGAACGAAATCTTGAATTTTGTTTCTCCATGAGGTACTATTTCAGAATTAAGATCAAAAGATTCTTCATCTGTATAATCTGCCTGATAATCTTCTTCTATATATGAATCCATATTGCTTTTATTTATCCAAGCTTCACTTTCAAAAAATCTATAACACCTTCCATCTACCCATATTAGTTCTGGTTTTAATACATCCATTATTAAGTATTAAGTAAGAATTATTCAATTCACTTTCTATTATGACAGCTCACTTTTATGATATAACCTAAAGATAATGCGTAATATTTTAATTAATAAAATAAGATTATGTTTTAAAATAATTTCTTATGTCAGTAAATCGTACCTGATAATTGTGATTTTTTTTCCATAATTACTTTCAAAATTAATTTAAAAAATAATTAATTTTATTGTTACTTAGTAATTGTGTGTGTGTGTTTTATATAATAATAATAATTATTTAATACATAAATAAGTTTCTTATTTTTTTTTTGCTAGGTTTCCTTTACGTGGGTTTATGCAGTACCTTGGGAGTATTTTTCATCTTTTTACCTGCAATTATCATGATAAGTAAATTAAATGACTTAATTAAGTGAAGATTAAAACATAAATAAAAATATAGAAACAAGTGACACATAAATAAGAATATATAAATATCAATAAATATATAATTTTGTTTTATATATTTATATATAAGAATGTGTGTATAATACCTATACGTATGTGCCATATATGTTTGACATTAATGAATTCATACATTGTACATTGATTATACTCATAGCAGATGTGCGTAAGGTTGAATACAGCAGCGCTATCTCGAATGAAGTAGCTGAGTTTCAGTTGTTCTGCTTACACATTAAAAGTAGTGTTATGTACGTTAGTATTGGTAATATAAGAGTATAGTGTATAGTGAACATCAGGTGGAGTCGAGAAACTGTACATACAATTAACATAGTTTTCCTTAATACATTCCAACTACAGTAAAAAGTGTTATATCGTAAAAGTGTAGCCGAAGTATCAAAGAAGCCCCGTCAAAGTTACTGCATCACGAATCGGTAAGCTTTACTGTCATTAGGCTTCTTCCGATATTCGTTATATATTTATGATTTAATAATTTCTTTTTTACCTTACATACCGTATTATACTATTTTATAATAAATTCGAAAGTTACCGCAATTATTGTGATTTTCATGATTTTAAGAAACATTTGTTTGAATGTTATTTTCTGTATATTTTACAAAGTCACAGATAACTTTAATAAGAATATTTTCTTAACGTGTTTTTCACTTTATTTTAATAGATACAATTGATTTAAGTTTCTATTTTTGTTTAATATTTATTATCATATAAAACTTCAACTCATTTAATATATATTTTGGCAAAGGCAGGGGCTAACGATGTTTGCTAAGAAAAAGAAGAAACCACAAATATCTACACCAACAAACTTTGAACATAGAGTACATACAGGATTTGATAAGCGAGAGGGTAAATTTGTCGGATTACCATTACAGTGGGCTTCAATAGTGGGCAATAATCAGATCCTTAAATCAACCAATCGACCATTACCGCTAGTAGATCCAAGTGAAATCACACCTACAGAGATTCTCGATTTAAAAACTATAGTGCGAGGACATAATGACCCTAGAGTTAAAGTATTAATAAATGATAAGACTACGGAGAATGGATTACCCAAGACCAGTACAGTTGCAAGATCAAATTCGCTTCGTTCTTCAAGTCCGCCACGACTTAGGAGAGATTATAGGTAAACGTATACTTTTCCTATTCTATCAATGTATTATATTATTACTAGCATTTTGTTTTGTTTTATAGGCATAATACTAATCTTCCACCCTCTGTACCCGAAGGACAAGAAGTACCCTCAAATACTAGTCAAATACAAGGATTTACAAACTTTGGCAAACCACATAGTTACCTTGAAAAAATGCGACAAAATTCGCCAAGTGTTACATCTGGATTAAATCCTAACATTCAAAATATGATTCCAAATCTTCAAAATTTAAATCCCAATATGCAGTCTTCACCAAATTTAACTCATACTGGACAAAATGCTCCTAATTTATCTCTTAATTTTCAAAATTTAAGTCCAATTGTTAATTCACAAAGCTCCACATCAAATCCAACTACTCCGCAAGTTCCAGAGTCTGAGTTTCACAGATTAAATTCGCAAATGACAATTGCATCGAATCAATATAATGGCAATCTTCAGGTAAATTATTTTTAAGAAATAAAAATTTGTATTGAGCAAATTATAGCTGATATAATCTGACTAAAAATATATTTTAGATTCCAATGAATGAAGTATCTACAAGAGATCATCAAGTTGCTCAGAATATGTTACTACAAAAATTGCAACCAAAAATATCGCCAGTTGGATCAATAGCTTCACAACGACCTCTGAGTCAACTAAGTTCTCATAATATTAATAAATATCCTCAAAATTATAATATGGGTGAAAATTCAACTGTGATGCAACCCCACTTGAAAAAACCAATGGAAACATCGCAGTCAATGCATAACTTATCAAAGTCAAATGTTCCTTCGACAGTTGCTGGAACTGCTCCAACTCCGGATCAAAATCAAAATATGAAAAACGCTTTATCATCAGGTAATTTAACAGTTGGCTCAAGTTCGAATAGTTCCAATAAGCAGACTGCTGAACAACGTTTAACTCATGAACAATTTCGAGCAGCTTTACAAATGGTGGTAAGTAAACAAGAATCTAAATCTTATTTATATAAATTTATAATTTTTCTATAGAACTTGACAAAATCGTAGGTGAGTCGAGGTGATCCTCGAGAAAATTTAGAAAGTTTTTTGAAGATTGGAGAGGGTAGTACAGGAACTGTGTGTATAGCAACAGATAAAAGTACAAATCGTCAAGTTGCAGTTAAAAAGATGGACTTGAGGAAACAGCAAAGGCGAGAATTGCTTTTTAATGAAGTTGTTATCATGAGGGATTATCATCATCCTAATATAGTTGAGATGTATGATAGTTTCTTAGTGGATGATGAACTTTGGGTAGTGATGGAATATTTAGAAGGTGGCGCATTAACGGATATTGTAACACATTCGCGCATGGATGAGAGTCAAATTGCGACGGTGTGTTCGCAATGTCTTAAACCACTAGCGTATCTACATTCACAAGGAGTTATTCATAGAGATATTAAGTCTGATTCAATATTACTTACGGCAGATGGAAGAGTTAAATTATCTGATTTTGGTTTCTGTGCTCAAGTCTCCCAAGAATTACCAAAGAGAAAATCTCTGGTTGGAACCCCGTATTGGATGAGTCCTGAAGTTATTTCAAGGTATATTATATCTATTATATTATTTTTGTAGATACATTAGAAAATTGTAATTGTAACTTTGGTATCATGTTTTATAGATTGCCATATGGACCCGAAGTAGATATTTGGTCATTAGGGATAATGATCATTGAAATGGTCGATGGTGAGCCACCATTTTTTAACGAACCTCCTTTACAAGCCATGAGACGTATAAGAGATATGCCACCTCCAAAATTGAAAAATTCTCATAAAGCAAGTATTGCATTCCTATAAAATATAACTTACTGTTTATTTTATAATTTAAAAAAATATATACAATAATTGTAGGTAAGCCCACGTCTTCAAGGATTCCTTGAAAGAATGCTTGTTCGTGACCCAGCTCAAAGAGCAACGGCAGCTGAATTGTTACAACATCCATTTCTTAGGCAAGCTCAAAGTCCAAGTATTTTGATTCCATTAATGAGAGGTGCAAGACATACAAATTGTTGATAGGTGAGATGATATTATCATGATTTTATTAACTTTTTCATTAATGACTGCAATAATAGACACTAAAGTGGAAGAATGTAAAATATACCTGATGTATGCAGTCATTATTGTATTGTAGATCATGTAAAATTGGAATAATGTTTAAACAATTTATTCTAAGAAGTTTAAACATTCCAGTTAATTCTGAGACGACCCTGATGGAACCCTGTGTATACAGTCATAATTATATTGTAGATCGTGTAAAGTTTAATAATGTTTAGACAATTTATCCTAAGAAGTTTGAACATTCCAATTAATTCTGAGCTTATACATATTATTTATATAAAAATATATGAACTGTTTGCCAATAATATTAATGTTATAAAAACAGAATGTTTCTAAAAGCCATGTAATTAATTGTTCTCGAAACAGTTTCTAAATAGTTACTGAACAATTTACGAACTTGTATATATCATTTTGTTCATACACGTAATTGATGATAATATTGGACAAATCGACAAGATATTTATTTATATCTACTCCATGTAGAATAAATAAAAAAAGTGCCTTGACTATAGAAAGATATTCAAAACATTGATATTTGATGATTCACTGCCATAATATATTTTCTTAAAATAATTTATATACACGAATTGAAAGAATACTTTAACTGACTTATTGAATTAAGTTTTGCAGTTAAATATATCATATTAACTTTCAAAATAAAAAAAATGTATATTTCTATATAAAGTATTAGTGGCGGTGGATGTGTAAATTTAAAAGAAAATAGCAATTGCTTATCTGTCGTTTTATGTTTTAATAATATAATTAATATTTCACCAAGTATCACACAATGTCCAATAAGTTACTAATTAAATATAATTTAAAGAATTATGTATACAACACAGATTATTTAGTCTATTGACAAATTGTTGATAAGAATAATGTGCCACGTATGCTTTTTTATTTTAAGAATTGCTAAATTTTTATAAATTTGTATTACAAAAAATTAATGTGTTGGAAGATTTTAACATATGCTTTTTAATACTTTTGTATTTTTAATAATTATTCTTACTACAAAGCAAATTTTCCAAATAACAAATACATATAACATGAGATGGTATTGTTAATATTTCATGTATTTATTATTGAATTTTTAACAATTTATACGTGTTAATTAGTAATCAAAAATATAACGAAATATTTATTAAAATCTGAAAAAAATCAAACGTAGTTGAACGTGAAATTTGTAAAAATTTATTTGCAATATAATGGCAGCAGAAATTCACGTTCAAATAAATTATAAAGAAATGTTTCTAATATTGTTTCTATGAAATATTAGTAGATACAATTATTTCTGATGTCACGGGATATTATATTCTTTGAAAATCATATATTGCCAATTTGGTAATAGAAAACAATTAGTATTATGATTTTAAAATGGCACACAAATTATTGTTTGCACAAATGTGTCTGAAACGTTATTAATATTTGAAGTTTGAAAAAATAATTTTGATAAGATCTATATTATAATGAAATATTTTTAATTTAATTTGTTTTATATACACGTATATTTATCATAATTTATATTGTAGTAGATTATTGTAGCGTAATACAATATGCTATTTTATCCAATATTTTTATAAAATTCCAACATTCTAACAGAACATTCCTAAATTATAACGACGGTATAAAATAGCTATGACTTACTTTTGTAGATTATTTTTTTTATTGGTATTCAACGATAAAAGATAATGAAGAATCAATAAATATATAGAAATTCAAATATTAATTCGGAAGAGAGAGATTTCAGAAAAAATATGCCTTAAAATTATTTAAGAAAAAATCTTCACGTTTACAAAATATTTTTGGAAGATATACAGGTTGAATATAAAGAAAATGTAATACTCGCATTTTTAATGAATATTTTATATGTATGTTAAGTTGTACAATATTATCTTGCATTCGTCGACATAAAAAGATCAATGTCAAAGTTATGTATGGTATATCATAAAAATACATATGTATGGATATTGAGAAGATCGATAGCAAGCATTATTTATAATGTAAAATACAATTTATTTAGAAATGATTAAAAAGTCAAAAGTATTTTTTAATCAAATCTTTACGTTAGTTTAAGCAACTAAACTTATTGGGATTACTTAGCCTAATAAAAATTACCTTTTAATTTGTATAGTTATATAATAATACATTATCAATTAATAATTAATTTAAGTAAACAAATTGTCGTTTACATTATGCAGACAATCGTTACTTGTTGTTTTGTTGTCAACTTTTCTTTTTAATATATCGAAATAAATTAACAATAAATATACATAGGTTGCAATGAAGAATGTATAAGAATAATGAAATTACATTCTAGCATTATATATTCATATATACAGAAAATGTAATGAATTAACCAAAAGTATCAATTTTGTTTTTCAATTTTCAATGGGATGCTCCTTTTTTTTAATTTTATCTAAGGCTATATTGCAACGATAATAATTTTATTTGTACAGTTTTATTTGTTGTATAATTAATGATTGCAGTTTTGTGATATTATGTAATATTGTAGTACTAGAATTATCCAAAATGGAAGATCAGAATACATCATTTTGATAGTGAAATTTAATCATTTTTTAGTTTTAATTACTTTTAGTAAAGAAAACCAACAATATTTTATTACGACAAAGTTAAGCGAGCTATTTTATTAATTCTATTATAAAACCTCAAAAGATCTAAGAAAAAAATAAAAAAAAAAATAATAGAAAAAACAAATGTTAATGATGATTTCAACAAAGTATATTTAAAAACATAGAATAAATAATACTTTTTACTCCGTATTACGGCACTAATTGATAATTAAGGCCATTGTACTTAATGATTATATTTTTATTAAAATAAGCGAAGAGCTCCCGTTGAGGATATACAAAACCATGTATTAAAATAATGATATTATATGTATACATAAATCTATTTCTAGGTAATAAAGATATAGAGAGTGAAAACTACGTTCTGTTAATAATTCTTTATATATATATATATAACTACTTGTATATAACTACAGATAGATATGTAGATAGATATATTTAATTATTTACGGCCTGTTGATTCAATATATGGATTTGGTTTAACAGATTAATTGCAAAATTCGTAATACTTCTACATTATCTTAACTATGAGCTAAATCAAAATCGTAGAAGAAACAAAAAAACATGTATATATATATATAACTATTATATATTTATTTATTATACATATATCTCTTCTTACCTAAATATTAATGTCTTTAAAAACTTGCTGGAACGGACCTACACATAGAAATAACATTCATAGAATGATTAGGGAGAGAAACGAAGAGGGTGATGGTAAAAAGAAGCAGAGCGCTGTTACTATGCGGACTCAGCATACCAAAAGGAAAGGCGGTTCTAGCGAGTCCGGGCAGCTGATTGGCTGAACGCGACGAGCCTCTGTTCGACCGGAATGACCTTCACATTCTACCTGCGACATAGGCGCCACACGATGACTCGTTCGTTGATGCACGTTGGTTCGAGGAAATCAATCGTTCAGTATTTCTTAGGATCGAATTATTCGCTGAATAATGATGCAATATATAGTATAAATCAAAAGTTTTTTTGGATTTCTCTTGACCCACTATTACGCTGGATTTCTACTCATGCAACTCAAGGATATATACATATGCATATTTTTATTTTTACGATTTTATTTATATTTATCAGTATAAAATTATTTGTGTTAATTCACAATTTTATATTTTTATTATAATTTAATAATTAATTTTTATTACAATATATATATATAAATTACAAGTTTTTATCTCGAATATACGACATTTTTATTTTTGTACAAAAATTGTACTCACCAATTGAAATGCGATTAGTTTGGAATAATAATATTTTTTCAAATTTATATGTATATAAAAAAGAAATAAAATATAAATGCATATTATATATATATATACGATATTTGCGAGCGAACAATGCGAAATTCGTTGTTAAGCAATTTTACTTGGAAATTTCGATAAAAGTGTATTCGTAATCAGTAAGAATAAAACTTGTATCATAAATTTGAAGAATAAGACAAACTCTGATCCCGTTGATATAAAATACGTATGATATCTAATCACAGATCAGTTTGAAAATAATACAGAAAATAGTATAGATGTTTTACCAGCATTGAAATCTCCATTTTTAAGTACTATCTATTAATACTTGCCAAGATCTCTGTCATCTATTAAAACAACATAATATAATCTCGAAAAAATGATCTTAAGAGTGGTCAGGAAATATACTAATAATTAATGAAATAAATATATATATTATCTTATCGTTATCGCGTAACGTATAAAATTATATTGAAGAGTTGTAAATGAAAAGTGTGTGGCCACGCCACTGATAAATCGCGTTTGGGTTCAACACTGAGAAAACGTGACGAGGTATACGTCACTTACGAAGAACGATGTACATGTTAGAAAATGTGTATGCATTTCTATATGGTGTGTATATATATATATATATATATATACTTATGTGTATGTTCGACTAAGGGGTCGTCGTATTCGAACTGTTTTATAAAAACCGACAGAATGACGAAGTAGGCGTGTCTTGTAAGGCACATGGAATTGGTCACGTAGGATGTAACGGACGATCTCGAAAGTTTCATCAGCTCTCTCATCGTGACGTGCACATCACACACACACACAATGTTATATATATATATATATATACAGCGTCAAACAAAAGTATATACACAAAAATTAATTTTATTTTTTGCAATAATCTTCTGTAAATCTGTTCAAAATATTTACCCACTGTCAAAATATTATCAAATCAAAAAGATACTAAAGCCTTATTCAATTAAAGATATTATAATTTTAATTTATCTTTTTTTTTTGTAATTTAATATATAATACGGGATGGGTTATTTATTTAGATATTAAATATTACACGTTTTCAATAAAATATATTAATGTTATTTAATTCTTTGTGTATAGATTTATCTTCCAAGTTTAGATTTGTGAATAATACAAAAAAATTATAATGAATCATATTTATTTTTTACTAATTTACAGAGGATGTTCTAGGAAATTTAAGTCTGGCAATATTTTTCTTTGTCACTGTATATATGGCATCATGTCAGGACCACATGTGCAGTTCAAAGGAAAAAGAACTAATTAACTCCACTTTTTCGAAAGTTTTAAAATTTGACTACCAACCAGTAATATATATATATATAAGCTAAAAAAAAAAATTAATTTATACGTCAAAAGAAACTAATATTATCAATTTTTTTCTTTAATGTGTGTCTCGTGTAGTTGAATCATTTTAAACGTCTCAAACGATCTTGTCTTTACTTATATTCGTATATTCCTAAGAAATAATACCTTATTAAAAATTTATCAATGACAAAACAGAGAGATGATTCAACAGTAGTTACTTCTAATTACTATCTAACTCTTTTCCTTAATTAAGGTAGAATAATGGTAGAATAATGATAAAGATTAACGTTTCGAAATAAAAATGGGAATGAACATTTATGTCAAATTAAATTAATAATTATTAATGAAAAGTAACTGGTTTTATATATAGAAAATTTATAACAACGATTGCTATGATGTTATATGGTGTTCTAAAATTTGCTTATGCATTAATTTTTCACATGACCTTAATTGACTTTTTGATTATCTACCCTTCTTCGATCCTTGAAATTTTTATAAAAGAAAATATAACCTGTGGATTAAAAATATAAGAGAGGTTCGGTCAAGATCATCGACATTTTTGAACGTTGCAACGATGACGTAGATTCTAAACTCACGTAAATACATTTTTTTTTCTTTTTCTTTATAATCTAGCGTCAGTAAAAATATGACTTTGGACTCGGTGAACGTATTGCGGAATTCGTCGTTCTGTTACCGTCGTAAATTCTATTTGAAAAAATACTTTTTG